ATCGAAGTACATAGGGCGGTCCGACGTCACTGTTTCTGCTTCGTTTAACACACGAGTACAACAGCTCAAGCTACATCCGTCATCATGGTTTACGTCGGTATTCCAACGAACTACACCACCTCGCCATCCTCGTTCGCGGGGACGCCGTCTCTGACAATTAACTACGAGGCCACTCAGGATCTCGACTCGACCAATGCCTTCGAAGGTCCTGAGAAGCTTCTCGAGGTATGGTTTGCACCATCTGCCGCTGAGCTAGGCGCTGCCGGCCCCGACGGCCTTAAGAAGGTGCCCGGGGAAATTTGGAAGGATATGTTGGACCTGGTCAACTGCCAGGTGCTTTCCGTTATCTCCTCCGATGAGATGGACGCCTACCTTCTGTCCGAGTCCAGCATGTTTGTCTGGCCGCACAAGTTGATTCTCAAGACGTGCGGAACTACTACCTTGCTTTCGGGACTCCCCCGCATCTTGGAAATCGCTGCCTTGTTCGCAGGGTTCCCACGCGCCACGGCCCCTCCATCCCGGGGTATCACAGTGGCTGCGGCCCCCTACCGAGTCTTCTACAGCCGGAAGAACTTCTTGTTCCCTGACCGTCAGCGTGGCCCTCACCGCAGTTGGCGCGATGAAGTGCGATCTATGGACAGGTTGTTCATCAACGGCAGCGCTTACATGATCGGCAAGATGAATGGAGAACATTGGTATCTTTACCTTACCGAGCCTGGCACCGTGCTCACCCCACCGGCGAGTCCTAAGGAGGAGGTTAACTTCAACGAGACCGAAACCAAGGTCCTTGACTTCCCTGATGCCAATCCGCGCACTGACTGTGATGAGCACGATGAGACCCTCGAGGTTCTGATGACCGACCTTGACGAGGAAAACGCTAAGCAGTTCTACCTCGAAAACGCCACTGTTGTGGCCGAGAAACGTCACCGCAACTCGGAGAAAGACGATGGTACTGATCACCTCGACGTCTTCAGCAACACCTCCGACATGGATGAGGAGACTGGTGGCGCCCTGCCGGCCGAGCTCACCACCGAGGGTCACGCTCTGGGCACTGTCGTCTCTGAGTCATGCGGCCTGTCTGACGTGTACGCCAAGAGCAAGTTCCCGGATGCTCGCATCGATGCGTACCTCTTCACTCCATGTGGCTTCTCTGCCAATGGCGTTGTGCCGGCTCCTGATGGCAACGCACCGACCCACTACTTCACCGTGCATGTGACGCCGGAGCCTCAGTGTTCGTACGCATCTTTCGAGACCAACGTCCCGCACTCTCAGAACGGCAAGGCTACTGCCGACATCATCCAGCAGGTTGTTGCGATCTTCAAGCCTGGCCGTTTTAGCATCACCTTGTTCGAGACCAAGCCCGCGTCGGATGAGCTCGAAGAGGCGAATGGGCAGTGTGATGTGGCGCATGCTCAGCGCCAGGCGCTGCGCCGCAGCAACAAGATGGAGCACGTCGAAGGCTACCGTCGTGTCGACCGCATCGTCCATGAGCTGAATGGGTATGATCTTGTATTCCGTTACTACGAACGCAATGACTGGGAAGGGGGGGCACCGCGACTTGGAGAGAAGGGATTCTAAGATGGCCTGGCTCTTCAGCTATCCGCCATTGGGCTGTTCTCTCCTCGCGGGTGCGACCTTTCCATCCGTTTGGGTTTTTGTCACCTTGGCATTCAACATTTGCACGTTTTTCTTTATTTTCTTTATTTTTTATGTCCATCTTGTTTCCTTACATAGTGTACAGCATTGCATGATTAAGCTGAGCGATCCATTCTTTTCGGCATTCGTTACAGTGGCTCAGTCGAGAAAGCTCGAATCATGGGTACATTGAGCTTCAATTATTTTCGGAATTTCGTCGTTCTGTCACTCCTTTGATCATACATCATACCTGGGTTTGAAGACTCATCTGCAGGGTCCATTCAAGCGTCTTGAACCACAATTATTATTTTCTGCATCATATTGGCTTCAGTGTAGAATGTAAATTCTAGAGTTCCTACACACGTTCTCCGTACAGCGGCCAATATGAATCGGGCTATTGTTGGCTTAAAATAGAAGGCGGTGAGATGCGTCCTTATCTCGTGTCTCCAAATTACTTCCAATCGATTGACGAACTACTTTGACTGAAACTCCCCCACAAAATCACATCACGATCTATGGTCATTTGAGAGATATCTTACTATTGCTCAAAACCAACCCTCATTCTTCTTTAAAATCCGAGGTTGGTATCTACCTTCCTCGCCTGGCGCAACGGCGCAGCGCGAAATCCTTGGGCCTCGAAAGAGCTTCAGCTTGCGCTCATACTCTATTGAGTAGACTGAGCATCGTCGCAGTTGAATGTACTGAATACGAGTTTATCGAACTATCACACACACAATACATTCCGCCCCTATTTATCCGCTACAAACTCTCAAAATGTCGTCACCACCACCATACCAATCATCACCCAATCCCCTCAAACGACCCTCCATCTCCTCCTCCGCATCGCAGCCGCTTGGAAAGAAGCAGCGCATGCATCCACTCCGCCAGACTTCATTCCCGACCGGGATCGATGTTGGAGATCGCAGTTTCGGTGGTACCAGTGAAGCAGGGAGCGTGACAGGTAGTTTCACAGGGAGTCTGGGCGGAGCAAGCGCAGACGGAATCTTCTCTGGTGCTTCACGTGGAAAGAAACGAGGACGCAAGAGTAAAGCCGAGAAAGAGCGAGAACGGGAGCGTGATGATGCTCTCAGCGCTAGAGCGGGAGATTCTACACGGTTCGGATCAGTCGAAAACGAGGGTTCAGTTAGAGGTGGTCCTTCTGGCAGTGGAGGTGGTGGAGGTGGAGGTGCTGATGATGCGGACGATTATGACGAGGACGATGAGGCAGAGCTATTTGGGCAGCAAGAAGGAGCTACGGATACAGAGGCTGAGAAGAAGAACCTAGCGTATGTTTCCTCCCGTCCTTCCGGTCATATTGGATGAAGCTAACGTTGATTTTGGACAGGATTCTGGTTGATGCTTTCAACCCCATGCAATCAGAGCGATACGATCTCTTCAAACGAGCGAAGCTGCGCAAAGAAACACTCCGCCGTATCGTCAACCATGCCCTCTCACAATCCGTCCCAGCCAGCGTGGTGACGACCGTCAATGGTTTCACCAAGGTCTTCGCCGGTGAAGTGATCGAAATGGCGCGAACGGTCCAGGCCCAATGGGCCGAAGCACACGACCTCGCTGCGCGCGATGCGTTTGAGGCCGAAGAAGCCGCTGCCGAAGCCGCTGCCGAAGCCGCCGCCCAGGCCAAAGCCTCAAGTGTGACCGCAAACTCCAAACCCTCCACCCCGACCCCCACAGGAACCCCAGTCCCTGGTTCGGCTTCCGCCTCTTTCAGCAACGGAGTTAAGAAAGAAGCACTTGACTCTAACCGTACGCCTACACCTTCTATCCCAACTCCCACTCCTCTCCGCCCCAAACGTGAGTTCCGTCCTCCACCAAACCCACACCGTGGCCAGCTTCTACCATCACATCTGCGTGAAGCAGTACGGCGGACAAAACGTGATGGTGAAGGTGGAGGAGTCGGTTACTCGGGATTGAGTCTAGAGAACCTGGGCGTTCGAGGCTCATTCACTTGGAACTCAGGAAGTGCAGGTGGGAGAAGGCTTTTCCGATAACCACCCAACTGTCTTCCATTGCATACCGGCGGGTTTTTTTTTTTTTTGGTTTTACTTTCATTTTCATGTCTAATACACTATGATCGGCGATCTGGGGCTTTGCGGGGAAATTGTTACGATAGACAGGGTTTGATTCGGCTTTGATATGATTATTCTCTTCTGCAACATACTACGTACTATCAATGGGTTCGAGATGTCCTTTATTGGGCCTTCATTCACTAGTTAGTATAACATACTTGTAGTAGATGAAAACCCCGTTCTTAAATTAGAACATACTCGTACCCGTATTCCAATCGCACATTCCACTAGATTTTGATACATCGAATCTGGAAGCCCTCTTGGCAGGGGGTGAAGAATGTCCGTGTCATTTACAACGCATCCATGTGCTCTCCGTGTGAGCAAACATGATTCGTATTGGCTAATGTCATAAGGCTGCGACTAGGGATGATTATATGCACCATTGTCTTCCCATGATGTCTCACATCTGATTTTCACTTTTGTATCGAATTGCCCGGTTTGCAAACTACAACATAGTAGTCCACTCCATGCCTATAACATTGTAGGTAGTGTAACAGACATGCCAAGAACAGCCATGTCCTCCTGGATGACACTATTTGTAGGAAGTTGGTGTTTTTCGCAACTTCTCTATTGCTGCCTACATAGCTAGAAGGTCTGATTGGGTACATTGGGCATTTTCGGAATTAGGGCTATCCTCAATGTCATACAAGATACGGACTAACGGAGTCAAGATGGACTAGATGACAATAGTAGAAGCAATAGTAGAAATATGATATCTCTTTCCCCAAAAACAGGAATTCAAAAACAGGAATCAGGTAGGTCATTCAACCCTGCAGAAAGCCGTGCAGCAAGGGCCTGTGTTCATTCAATGCAATGTGGGACTAACATAGTTAACTAACTTAACTAGTTAGTCTATATGTGCACCTGTTTCTCAGGGAATATACGATTGGATCTGGGACATAAGGGCTATACCACTTGCAGGGCCGCGTCGACTTCAATTCCCCTTCTTCTTGGCAGCCTCTTTCTTGATGCGATCGCCAGTTAGGGCCAGTGTCTGTTCTTTGTTTTCTTTGTGTTTCTTTTTAACTCATTTTCAGTTGGAGTGAGAGCTAGTCAACTTAGTTCATAGCCTGTGTGGTTCTTCTATATTTGCATCGTGGAGTTCTTGACTTCTTTTTATAATGCAATACCTCCAATCCTCTCATCTATACACTCGTTTAATAGACACAATACCTACATCCTTACCTTTACCTTGGTCCTCCGATCCAGCAGTGAAAGGAGATCCCAAAAAGAGTGTTAAATGGATCGATGTATGTTTATTGAAAGCAGACAGTGCTTATGATACAAAAAACGTCTAACAAATTGAACTTTCAGGGCCTCCGAGGAATCGCTTCATTCCTAGTAGTCCTCACCCATCTCGCCCGAGCCTGGGACTACGATCTGTTCTCACCACGCGACAACGAAGAAGCAACCCCACGAATTCTCCAATGGCCCATCCTCCGCATCCCCTGGCAAGGCCGCCTAGGCGTAACAATCTTCGCCTTCCTAACCGGCTACGTCTGCGCACTCAAACCACTCAAGCTGTCGCGGGCAGGTGATACAACAGGGGCATTCGAAACAATCGCAAAGAGCGCCTTTCGTCGACCACCACGACTCATCTTCCCCGCGACGATTGCGCTGTTCATTTCATGGACTGTGGCGCAATTTGGCGGCTTTATAGTTGCCAATAGATCTGATTGCTGGTGGTGTCGATATGCGGCACCGGATCTGGCGGATTCCTTTTGGAAGGAACTTATTCGTCTGCCGATGAATTTCTTGTCCACTTGGACGACCGGATATATGGCGTATGATGATCATCAGTGGGCGCTGCTACCGCTGCTTTGTTCGTCTATGTTGGTTTTTCTGGTGCTTTCGGCGACTATGTTCGTCAAGTTTCGGTATAGGGTTGTGGTCTATCTTGGAATGTTGTTGTATTTCCATCAGAATGCCGGAAAGGATATAGGTGAGTGTTTCTCGTGGATACAAGATACAACATAAAACCATATGAAGCTTCAATCTACGGATCTAGTATGCTTGAAGCCAAAATAAACCCCGTTGCTAATGCCGATTCTATAGAAACCTTCCAGATGCAAGCCATCTACGGCATGCTCCTCAGTGACTTCTCCTACCACACAGCCCTCAAAGACTGGATAGAAAAGCACCCGCGAGGAAGGAAGATGTTGACTATCCCACTCACGATCTTCGCGTTATTCCTCGCTTCATACCCCGGTGAACATCCAGAATGGACCGGTTGGTCGAACGTGATGCTCAAAGCAAGCCACTATATATTCCCGCCAGACGTCAACGTCGGGAAACGCTATACCGCACTCGCAATTGACATGATCATCCTGGCGATATTTTTCTCTCCCTCGACAAAAGACTTCCTCTCCAGCAGACTCCTCCTCTGGCTCGGCAAGCAGAGTTTCGCCGTCTACCTCATCCACGGAACTATGCTGCGGGTCGTGCTTTGCTGGATGTTATATGGCATCAGTGGTCAGCCGTGGAAGGGTCCTGAGCCATTGACTGATGACAAACGCGACGACTGGTTGCGTATCCGGCCGCCGTGGGTCGTTGGGATTAGTATTCCGCTCTGGATTGGACTTGTATATCTCCTTGCGGCGCTGTGGACGGCGTATGTGGATACATTCTGTGCCTCTATGACTCAGAAGCTAGAGAAGGCTGTATTTGTTGAGGATGAGAAGACGTCGTTGCCTTTGCAATCGATACCTATGCAGACTTGATATTCTTTCGTTTTCTCTCCGTACGTGTTGATACTATAGATTTGATTGGTTTGACCTAGGCTTTTTGGTGTTGTGTGATCTAGTAAGACTTGCTTTTCCTCGGCATGGCTGGTCCATGGCCATGGATGTACATAGTATGACTTTTTCTGGCTTTTCCTTTTCCTGGCTCTTCAAGTCTTGAGTCAATACGATAGCAAGATGAGTGATGCAAGCTTCAATTCTATATAGAAGTGTACATAGCCAAAATGGAGATTGTGATCGAACTAAATTCTACTCTTCCAAATCACAAAAAGAAAATGCAAATGCCACTGCGCCATATTTTACAGTTTGTATAAACACACGCCGATCAAGCACGGCGAGAACCACGTCGCCCGTTAGGTTTGCGAGCAGCCGCCTGGCTATTCTTCAAAGACTTGCTCGCCTTGGTCCTTTCGTTCTCCAGGGTTTTCATGTGCTCCTTGCGACGAGCTTCGTTACGCTCTCTCCGCATGAGCTCATCCTCGTCCTTTCGCTGTTGTTCGTATTCATCTGCGCGCTTCTTGTGGTCCTGGGCAATACGTTGCTCGACTGTTGAAGTGCCCATAGTTTCTGAGACTGATTTAGACAAGCTGGAGCCGGCTTTCCCGAACTTCTGGTAGATGCGGTCAATGAAGCTGATCTTCACATCTTCCTGTGCAAGTGACACAGGGATTGCGGTGCGTGCTTTCTCTTGCGCGGCTTTTTCCTTCTCAAGTCGCTCCAGCAGTTGGCGAAGGCCCTTGCTTTGGGTGTTTTGGGTGACTGCCGAGAACGTCGGCCCGCTGGATGGCTTCTGGGCAATCGACAAGGACATCCACGTCCGGAAGATGCTCGAGTTGATCAGGTAAGTCTGACCCAGGCCGAAAAGACCGGTTGCCACGAAGTAGAACTGTAGGGCACTCGGCATGAATGCCATGAAGGCAAAAGACATGACGGGGAAACCATATATGATATATTTTCCTGCTTCGGTTTGCATCATGGGCATTTGGCCGGATTCACCACCTCTCTGTTGTCTTGGGTTAGTATCGCGGCTAGGCTACAGTAGATGACATGAGACCAAGACTTACCCTCAGAGATAGACACAGCGTTCCCGCAGCAATCATTGGCAAGATGTAAGTGGGATCAGCAACAGTCAGGTCCTTAACCCATCCCGCTGTTTCCATGGCCATGGCCGGTACTGGCAACGAAGTCATGGCTCGCACGACTCGGAAACATCCGAAACCAAGTGGAATTTGCAACATGGGAAGAAGGGACTTCCAAGTCTTAATTCCATGGGCATCATTGATCTCCTTGAGCTGGGCCCTTACAACCTGGGCTTCCTGCTGGTTCCCTTCGGACGAGGCCTCGACCATTCTTTGCCGGAGAGGGTCGGTCTTAGATTTGGCGTTGGTCATCCTTGCTGCGTTCTCGGATGCGCCAATGACAGGCTTCAGCATTGCAACACGAGTAATAAGACCGACAGCCACGATACTAGCCCACCATGGCATGCCGGTCCAAATGTGAGTGTGCTCGATAAGCCATTGCATCGTCGACGAAAAGCCCCAACCGAAGTCCAGCCCAAGCTCCTTAAGGTATCCGATGCGCTCCGGAATCGTAGTAATATCGTGTATGTTTACCGCATTCTTCAATGTGCCGTCGAAAGCGAATTCGGGGAGTGTTGAGTCGGAGGAGGTGGAATTAAATCGGACTGCGGCCGGGCCGATAACAGCTGGTGTCATGCGCCATGGAGCACTTCCGGATAGTGCTGACTTCAATTGGCCGCGCTGGCTAGGGAACCGCAGACTTTGTGACCGCAACGTGGATATCTACAAAGCCAAGTCAATTTCTTATGTTTTTGCAAATTCCGAGTCAACGGGAGAACAGACAGATCGAGAGGAGCGGGACATGACGGTCATCCTCTGACTTGCAAGGGTAGCAGCTGCGCCGGACCCTTTCAGGCCAACATGTCCCATCATTGTGGTTTGAGATAATTAAAGATGGGAAGATAACCAACTACGGAAGAGTTGTTCTCCTACCTTTCGGCGCGACTTTTTCTGCCCGGGCGGTAACTACCCCCGGATCACGGGTACGGGTACGGGTCAGGCACGGAGACTCGAATATGGAAATATGATATTCCCCAGGTCATTGACTTGGATATTCTATAACAAAAGCTGGTTGCAAAAATATAAATCCTAATTCGCCAAACGCCAACCCCCCTGAGTCAACAAGTCTATGTACAACCACTAAATTCAGGTGTGCATAGAAAGCCAGGTATCGATCCCAAATCACATATGCTTCGGTTTTTGTCTCCCGCGTAAATGCAGCCATTCTGGAACGGAATCCAAAGGCAGAATAAACATCAATCGCTTATTCCAAAGAAGCAGTATCCCTCAGTCCAGGACGTCTCCGCTCCGAAGGAAGCTCCCGCATCTCAATACCCGGGCCCACTGCATGTGAGCGGCGGTGGGTAGGGAAGATCTATATAATAAAAAGCAGCGAATCAGTCATCAGGATCAAAATGAGATATATAAGATTCCACATACCTTAGTGTTAGACCATCCAAGTCGGAAAGCAGCCTCGTGTGCGAACAGCTCTCCAAAGCCGAGCATGAGGCCATTAACGAAGGGGAGGAAGAGGTTGATGGCTGCTCCGCGCAGAATACCCCAAACACTAGGCGGATTGTAAAGCATCACGAGTGAGCTTGCGGTTGATGGGACCGAGGAGGACATCTCATGGTTCGCGGAGTAGTTCTCTGAGTCGGAGGGGACGGTCATAGCAGAGTCGTAGAGCTCGGCGGGCGAGGCGGAGGCGGCATCGGAGGCCATTATTAGGATTGGAGAAGACCGAGTAGCTGTGTTGTATCTTTAAATAGCGGAGTCGGAGTTGGTGTTGACCCTTGATCTCGAAAAAAACGGCAAAGTAAAAGAGGCTAAAGTTGATGCGATGGGCCCGATGAGCTCGCTGGGGTATCATGTGGATTATGTCAGCATATCGTATCCATCCATGGTGGTCTCTATCTGAGGCCCATCGATTCTGTGAATAGCGTCTTGTTTACTCGAGGAAATTTCAATATTATCCAGGAGAATTGTAATACACTCGTTATATGAATTCTACTATATCCATGGGTATTTCATAGACATAATTTTGTACTGGATTAATATTCTGGAAATGGTATTGATCAATTTTGTTATATACTGATTTGAGAGATCATTTTGGTATGTTCTTTTTTTCTTTTCAAACTCCAGTTCACGGACAATATGGACAAGAACTCAGAATAAATAGGGAGAAAAACAGTTGAAAAAAAAAAAGATTCGTAAATATAGACTAGAAATTCTAACCGACCCAGCGTCTGGCGCTGTAGAAGACACGTCCCCAAGGGCCAATATCGCCCCAGGACTCGGCATTCGGAGGCAACCAGCTGGCAATACCGTTCAGGACAGTACGCTCAGGGTGGGGCATGATAGCAAGGACACGACCGTCGGGGCTGCGCACACCGGCAATACCCTCGGGACTGCCGTTAGGGTTGAAGGGGTACTTCATGGTGGGCTTGAGGGAGGAGTTGTCGACGAATCGGACGGGGGCAAGACCCTCGCGAACGAAGTCGGAAGCCGAGACGCCCTGGGAGCCGGCGAAGGAGGCACGACCCTCGCCATGAGCAACGGCAATAGGGAGCGAAGTTCCGTCCATGCCGTGGAAGAAGACGCTGGGGCGGGATGGGTCGGGGTCGGAGATGCGGGCCATGCAGACACGGCCTTCGTACTGCTCGCTGGCATTGCGCTCGAAGCTGGGCCAGTAACCCGCACCAGGAATCAAATCCTTGATACGAGACAAGAACTGGCAGCCGTTGCAGACACCCAGGGCGAAGGTGTCCGGGCGCTCGAAGAACTCCTGGAATTCCTTGCGGGTGTTCTCGTGCAGCAGAACGGACTTGGCCCAACCCTGGCCAGCACCCAAGACGTCACCGTACGAGAAACCACCGCAGGCAGCGAGACCGGCGAAGGTGGAGAGAGACACACGACCAGAAATAATGTCGGTCATGTGAACATCGACGGCGGAGAAACCAGCGGTGTTGAAGGCAAAGGCCATCTCAGCTTGACTGTTGACACCCTGCTCACGAAGGATGGCAACGCGGGGCTTGTTGGCGAAGGGGGAGTATTGGGAAAGGCTGGTCATCATGGGCAAGCCCTTGTCCTTAGGGTCGAAGCTAGGGTTCCAAGAGAGACCGGGGTTGGCATCGTCAAGGATGTTGGCATACTCCTGCTCCGCGCAGTCCGCGTTGTCACGGATCTTCTGCATGTGGTAGGAGGTCTTGGCCCAGGTCTGCTGCAGGCTGGAACGGGTGTTGCGGTAAACCAAAGAGGCCTTGTGGTAGATGGCAAGGTCCTGCTTGGGCTGTTGAGCCACACGTCCAATCTTGTGGATCAGACGTGGAGGAGGACCGCAAGTGGCGAAGCATGAGCGGAACTGGATCTCGTGCTCCTTGCGGACCTGGAAGACAGCACCAAGCTCTTCAGTGAAAAGGGATTCAATGACATCCTTGGTGTTGAAAGAGGCACAGATATTATCGAGCATGATCTCAACACCGCAGCGACCGGCGAACATCATCTCAACAAGAGTAGTCAGAAGACCACCATCGGAGCGATCGTGGTAAGCCAAAACAATTCCGGCCTCTTGAAGTTGCTGCGTAGCATCGAAGAAGTCCCGGAAGAGATCAACATCGCGAACGTCAGGGCACTCGGAACCGACTTCGTTGAAGACCTGGGCAAGAGCAGATCCGCCAAGAGTCTTGCGACCGGACGAAAGATCGACAAACATGAGGACAGTCTCTCCAACTTCTTCGAAGCTGCGAAGAGCCGGGGTCCAGGTCTTGGTGAAGTCGCCAACCGGCGCAAAGGCAGAAATGACACAGGACATCGGGGCAGTAACCTCCTTGGCCTCATTCGAGGTCTCATCCTTCCACTTCATCTTCATGGACATAGAGTCCTTGCCGACGGGAATGCTGATACCAAGCTTAGGGCACAGGTCCAGACCGACGGCCTCCACGGCTTCATATATAGCAGCACCCTCACCAGGGTGGCTACCGGCAGACATCCAGTTGGCTGAGAGTTTCACTTGGCTGAGACGATCCACAAGATCAGAAGCAGCCAAGTTCATGAGAGACTCAGCAACAGCCATACGAGCAGACGAACCCGAGGAGATGAGAGCCAGGGTAGGCTTTTCACCCATGGCAAAGGCTTCACCGGTCTTCATACCTTGGGCCAAGGAGGTGGCAGTAACCGAGACATCTGACACGGGTGTCTGCCACTTGCCAACCATCTGGTCACGAGCTGTCAGGCCGCCAACAGTGCGGTCGCCGATAGTGATCAAGAAAGACTTGGAGCCGACTGCAGGCAGAGACAGAACTCTCTTGATAGCCTCATCGACAACCTCCGTCCTCGAGGTGAGAGAGGGAAGATATTTGCTGAGGCTAGAGTCCACGGCGGGCAGCTTCAGCTTCCGCGAATCGACAGTTCGGGTCATGCGAGGAGTCTTTCCGAAAAGCACAGACAAAGGAAGGTCGATGGGGGCCGGGTACTCCTTGGACTCTCGGTCAAGGAGAATGAGTCTCTTTTCTTCCTCGGACGAACCGCCGCCACGACCGACAACGGAGAAGCCACAACGCTCACGGTTAGCGATAGCAGTGAACTTGTTCATGCTCTCCTCGCCGACGGCCATGACGTAGCGCTCTTGGGCTTCACAGCACCAAATTTGCATGGGGCTCATGCTACGGTCGGTGTTATCAATTTCACGAAGCTCGAACGTAGCTCCCAAGCCCGAGTCGTGGATCAGTTCGGGAAGGGCATTGGACAAGCCACCGGCACCAACATCGTGGATGAACTTGATGGGGTTGTTGTCTCCCATGGCTACACAAGCGTTGATAACCTCTTGGGCTCTCCGTTGGACTTCAGCATTACCTCTCTGGACACTGGCAAAGTCAAGCTCGGCAGAGCCTTCACCGGAAGCGATACTGGAGGCAGCACCACCTCCCAGACCAATAAGCATAGCGGGACCTCCAAGGACGACAAGGAAAGCACCGGGCTTGACAACGTCTGGGTGCTTGATGGCGTGTTGAGGGCGAACGGTTCCGACACCACCAGCGATCATGATGGGCTTGTGGTATCCTCGAACTTCCTTTTCACCATTGCCCACGTCGATCTCAGTGAGCAGAGTGCGGAAGTATCCACCAATGCAGGGGCGGCCAAACTCGTTGTTGAAAGCAGCGCTACCAATGGGTGCCTCCAACATGATATCCAAGCTGCTGGCAATGTGATTTGGCTTGCCGACATCGAGTTCCCATGGCTGCTTCAAGTCAGGAATCAAGAGGTCTGACACACAGTAGCCAGAGAGACCAGCCTTAGGGCGCGAGCCACGGCCGACGGCACCCTCGTCACGGATTTCACCGCCGGATCCCGTAGCCGCACCAGGGTAAGGCGAAACGGCAGTAGGGTGGTTGTGGGTTTCAACCTTGGCCAGGAAGTGCACAACTTCCTTGGTGTGCATCCACTGCCCAGTTGTCGGATCGGGGGCCCAGAACGCGGCCTCGGGACCCTCCAGCACAGCGGCATTGTCACTGTAGGCACTGACGGTGTGCTCGGGATTCTTCTTGTGTGTGTTGCGAATCATGGCAAACAGACTGTTTGGCATGGGCTTGCCGTCAATCACCCAGGAGGCGTTGAACTGCTTGTGTCGGCAATGCTCCGAGTTGACCTGAGCAAACATGAAGAGCTCGACATCAGTAGGGTCACGGGCAATTGCGCCATTCGGGCCATAGGCCTCAGCAAGATAATCAATTTCTGAATCATCAAGGGCCAAGCCGAGCTCCGTGTTTGCCTCTTGGAGGATCTCCTTGGGGGACTTGGTACCGCCCTGGAGGGAGATGGTCTTGAGGGGCTGGGGAGCGTGCTCGGAGAACATGAGGCTCAGCTCGGGCTCATCCTTGCCAATAATCTGAGTCATTCGATCATGAAGTGTATCCATGTACTCCGGCTTGTAGTCCTCTGCACTGTTACGAAGACACGAAATCTTCATACCCCGCTCGATCCGCTTGACGTACTTCTGCAAGCCGCAGACGTGCGAAATGCCCGTGGCCTGGGAGCTCCATGGCGAGACGGTACCGGTCCGTGGGAAAATGTAAAAGGTATCAAATTGACCGTCGGTGGATTCGAAGGTAGGAGGGATGTCTGTGATGTCACCGTACTGAAGCAATTGTTCGAGTACCGCACGCTGGGGCTCCTCCAAGGGCTGGGTGGTATGCACATAGTGAATCCACTGGGCTCGGACATCCTGGACACCGATGCTAGTAGCAATAGCCTGTCCTCGAGAGCGGGAAAATGCAACGGAGCCCGGGATGGCCAGATAAGTATCGGTAGAAGTCATCGTGAGGCAAATTGGGGATTCACCCAATGAGTCAAGTATGACACAGGAGATAAAAATTGATTCTCCTGGTATCGATTAAGATTGAGTGGCTCGAGTGCCTCTCTCAAGTGGACTTGAGAAGATCGCTAGAAGAGGCCGGCGATGACTCTATCGCCGCTTTTTTTTTTTTGTAAGAGAAATGAGTTTCCCCCGCCCTAAGCCTGTTGCGGCTTATCAGGTTGGGTCATGTGCTGATAACAGATTTAAAGTTTGAGGGCAAGTTCCTCATTTCTTCCATTTTTTTATCCAATGCTGTATTCATTCACATATCTTACTAAATGAACTTTTCAATCTATAAAATGTGACCATTACTAGGCTTTTTCATTCTATCTGATAACATCCAAAGGAGAGCGGAGAGGTTAAATGGAGGGCGTTGTGGGGCACTAAGTCAACAACATCGGCCCGGGGGATCCCCTCAGTATAATAATCAGTACAAGGGACTCACCACAACAATGGGACGTTCTTGGCCTCTGGGAAGCCCAAATATACTTGGCAGGAAGAAAAATCCATGGAATAAAAAGAAATAAAAATAATCACCTATAAATTACATCGCAAAAACGTATGGATAAACATACATATGATTATTGATGGACCCAGCATGGTTTCATATATCAAAGCTGGAATATTCCTCATCACATCCTAATGTTTGGGCCGAATAAAGCTCGTATAGAAGGCTTCTAAATACGCCCTTATTAACGGCAGGTGTGAGCTCGCCGCCAGAGAGTATCTCGGGCGATACGAATGAAGCTGGCGTGAGAAGCCAGATATAACGCTCCTAGCGATAGAACACAGACTAAGACAGTTGTGATGGCGATGAAAATGACTTGGTTTATAGGCATGTGATATTCTAGTTCTATTATATCATAGGGCCAACCATATATTAGAGGTAATTACCCCCATTTGGTGACAACCTGAGCGAATTACTTGATGCTTGATAGGTTTATCTTAGACAGAGTACAGTCGTCAAGTGAGAGAACCTTGCAGAGGATACTAGACGTGCAATAATCCATTCCAAAGTTGGGCATTTCCCACAGACACCGGAGTGAGGCGAAGACTCTATGTGCAATGCTTAAGACATGAAGATATCCTAAGAGTCCTGGAATCTGAGCACCGATAGTGCAAAGCCACTCCAATGGAAGCAACTCGGTTTTGTTTATAAGCCGCCTTCGGCTATAGTAGTTACTATGCACAAACGCCGGCCGCTGGGCTCCACAATCATGAAATGGTCGAGAAGCTGAATAACAAATTCCCGTCCGTTATTGTTCATCTCCCGGTCATATCCCGTAATATCAAAGTCCCTTATAGTCAATAGGGGTGTCAGTAGTTTGTTCACTAATTTTCAAGTCATCCCTGTGGAGCTAGAATCGCAAAGCCTCCGGGTTCCAAGGGTGAAAGGAAGGGCTTACACAAGATGCCGGCGTGACGAATACCAAACTATGCAGGTTCAAGTTTACACTTGCATGATATCCGTGTCTTTCAACTCATCCTGGCCGTGATATGAGTGAAAAAAACGTATGGACAGAGTATAGTCTCTATTGTAAAGATATTTTATACATGCTATATATACCAGACGCTCTTCCAACCATTTTTGCTCTCGTTTTGTTCACCGTAATTCTCACTAAAAGAAAATACACTAAACAGTAGAATAGTATCTAGCATGTGTAATTCAGATGGGGGACTTTGTACTACTAGTATAAAGTACACGAGATTGCAAAGAACAAAATGCTCGTTTTATTATGGGGATAGGGGTAAGATTTACCTCAAGACGTACGGAGTATTCCCCATTCAATAATAATTGAACATTCCAAACAAAATCCGCAAGTACATACATGTTTCCACTAATTCTGGGGCAAGGGGCATTGGATTTGAATGTTTGTATCTTTGATATGGACAACACCTACAAAAGATACCTACATAGACCCACAGCCACTTTAAAGTGCTACTGGTGGGCTTTTCAGCCCTGGTCTAATGCATAGATTCTAGAACAATAGAGAAAAGAATGTTGTGGCAAATCGAAATCCGCCTTGCCTGAGGTTTAGTTCCTAATAAGGAAATCCCATTTGAAATTTCCAGATTTGGTAGTATGCTCCGATCTATACAAGGAAAAGCAAAAGGAGAATCTCATTGACCAACTGTGGCCCAGGGATCCTTTTTTGTTATGAATATCCTGTGACACTGTAATATATCCTCTGGACTGAGCTAATCTAGACAAGTTCAATGTTGTTTCTGAGGTGGTCTCTTTGCCAGCAGATACAACTATTGAATACACACGTTTTCGATGTCTTTTAGTTGATTTATCCTTGACCTAACCTGCAATATCGGCTCATAAGACACCTTACATCTCGTAATTTTACCTCTATAAATTCGGCTTCTATTGCTATCCCCTTGATTGAGCTTTCTACGACATGTGGTACTTCTGGGTGATGCCAAGCTAGAACTCGGGAAAGTACACTTGAACAAGCTAGGAAGTATACAAAAGACAATTCTTAGGCTAAAGACATACTCGGGTATTCCCGATCGCTCATTAACAACAATACATGACGCGTTCTTGATCGGCAGATTAGTGAGACGGTATCATGACCTCGGGAACCTCCTTACTCGAAGGAAAGACCAGCGCTGGAGGATCTACTTACTAATGTCTCAACAAGTAGAGCTACATCCTGATTTACGTTTAGAGCGTGGATAATGAGAGCTTTGCATTGTTAATTGAAAAATATAGCAAAGTGCTTTCTCGAAGGAAAGTGAGCAATCAGGAATCAAGCGATAATGCCAAGAATGCCAAGAATACCAAGGCGCCATCGTAGCATATTGCCTAATAGGGGATAACACCGTTATTCCATATTAGGCAACTCATCTGGGTGGCCGATATCAAAGGTTCCGCTTGTAGCAAGAATGTATGAGCATCTTCATCCATGGAGGGCTCTTGTTGCTTTTTATTTTTTTTGTTATGCCCCACTCGCCAAAAGTTCGGCGCAGAATTTTAATAGAGATGAAATATAAAAGAATGCCACCCCAAGGGGGTCCAAAAGAATCTATATTGTATGATCACACGTTGCCATCACTACAACACCTTGCACTTATACCTATCACACTTCATACTTTTGTCTGGGTACAGCCCCTACAACCCGTCTGATATCTTTCAACATGGAGACCCCTAGGTCAGATCAGACCCACACCAATGGAACTAGTACGACAGCCTCCATCGGGTCTAACAACTATAAACAACCCAATGATTACCTCGACCTACCAATCCGCGAAGTCAACGATAACGCCGATTTACGCGAATACACCACCGAGACGAGGACAGGGGAAATCATCAAGCCGGTCAAGTCCAATGCTACTGGCAAAATCGAAGATTGGAAGATGGTAACCTTTACCATCGATGATCCGGAGAACCCTAAGAACTGGTCGAAGGCTTACAAGTGGTACTGTACCATGGTGGTTGCCTTCACGTGTTTTGTCGTCGCCTTTTGCAGTAGTGTCATTACAGCCGACGTTGAGGGACCCATCGAGGAATTCGGTATCGGTCGTGAAGTTAGCTTGCTTGTTATCACTGTTTTCGTTATTGGATTCGGTATTGGTAAGTAACTTACAGATTTGATGTGATGTGATGTGATTTGTATAGTTCTAACTTTATTTTAGGACCCATGGTCTTTGCTCCACTCTCAGAGATATTCGGACGTCGACCTGTCTACGCCTCGACCCTTGCACTCGCTGTGATTTTCGTCATTCCATGTGCCGTTTCTAAGAACATTGGAACTCTCATTGTCTGCCGTCTGATCGATGGAATCGCTTTCAGTGCTCCCATGACACTAGTCGGTGGTACTCTAGCTGATCTGTGGAAGAACGAGGAGCGTGGTGTTCCGATGGCAGCATTCAGCGCTGCTCCCTTCATTGGACCGGCCATCGGCCCACTTGTTGGTGGCTTCCTGGCTGACAATTGTGGTTGGCGCTGGCTTTACTGGATCCAGCTTATTTTGTCCTTTGTCGCCTGGGTCCTGATCACTTTCACTGTCCCTGAGACATTTGCACCAATTTTGCTGAAGAAGCGAGCCCAGAAACTTCGCAAGACTGAGAACGACCCCAAGTATACCACCGAAACTGAGCTCGATCCTCGCCCCATGAGTGAGAAGTTGCGCATCTTCCTCTTCCGCCCTTTCCAGCTTCTATTCCTCGAGCCCATTGTCTTGTTCATTTCTCTCTACATGTCGGTCATTTATGGCTTGCTTTACATGTTCTTCGTTGCGTAAGTCATCAACATCTTCTATTAACGAAGACTGGAGACTAACTATGTTGCTAGCTACCCAATTGTTTACCAGGGTGGCAAAGGATGGAGCGCGTCTAATACCGGTCTCATGTTTATCCCTCTGGCTATCGGTGTGATCTTTAGCGCAGCCCTTGCTCCTTTTGTCAACAAGCACTATCTTAAGGTCTCCGCAGCATACGGTGGCAAGCCTCCAGCCGAAAAGCGTCTGATTCCCATGATGTGGGCTTGCTGGTGCGTCCCTGCTGGTCTTTTCGTCTTCGCCTGGACTTCCTACCCCCACCTTCACTGGATGGGACCGGCGATGGGAGGCTTCATTCTTGGAATCGGTATTATTCTGCTCTACAACTCTGCCAACAACTACCTTGGTATGTATCGAACCGATGAAACCATTTTTAATCTGTGTTGTTGCTAACTATTTCTCTAGTTGATACCTACCAGCATCAAGCAGCATCTGCTCTCGCAGCCAAGACTTTCATCCGTTCTATCTGGGGTGCCTGCACCGTCTTGTTCACAGAGCAAATGTACGAGCGTCTGGGTGACCAGTGGGCCAGCTCGCTTCTTGCATTCATCGGCTTGGGTTGCTGCGCCATCCCCTATGTGTTCTACTTCAAGGGAGAGTCCATTCGTCGTTTCTCGAAATTCGCCTTCCACGACGATGAGGAGAAAGCCACCAAGGCATAAATTTGTTGCGAACTTGATTTCGGGAAAGTTTCAAAGGGAGGAGGATGTGGAAAAGAACTTGGATGACATTGGCACGGCGTCTTTGGATATCCATTGCATATATAATCGATCAAACTTTTAATATATATTGATATTTTTTAATACAAAATTTGTTCAAAGCACATCAGATCATGAAAACGGAAACCTTCCGAGTTGAAGGAACTATCGGAGAGAATGGAGATTAGCGGAGATAGCCCTGGAGGGCGGGGAGGCGCTGAGTCACACATCCCACCTTTCCATGGTTTGATTTTCGCCGAGATCTCTTCCTTTGGACAACTCTCTTGTCTTCTCCAATTCGCTCTCTCTATTGCGTTCGTTATTTTCCTATTCTAATTCTCTGCTTTTCAGCCCATCATGGATTCCGCGACGCAAGCAAGATTCGATCTTGTGAGACCCTACCCGTACCGTCCTTCAAACAAACACTCATTTCTTGCAGATCAATTCGAACCTCGCCGAATTCCTCAACCCTGAGATCATCGAGGACATATTGAAGAGTGGACGCAATCCCAAGGTGTACTGGGGCACTGCTGTTCGTACTATGCGCCTATAAAAGCAGAACGCTTGTCGCGACAACCTGCTAACACATCCTCCCTTTAGACGACCGGACGCCCTCACATTGGCTACTTCGTGCCAGCGCTGAAGATTGCGCAGCTGCTACTCGCAGGCTGCGATGTCACTATTCTGCTTGCGGATGTCCACGCATTCCTTGATAATGTAAGCGCATACATTTTGGAGGGACTCGCTCAGATCCCGATCTAACCAACCCTTTCGAGATAAACAGTTGAAGGCGCCACTCGAGCTAGTGGAACAACGTTCAATTTACTACCGAAACACTATCACCGCTATCCTTCAGGCCGTCGGGGTTCCTACTGAAAAGCTCGAATTTGTTCTTGGTAGTTCTTACCAGAAGAGTTCTGAGTATGTGCTTGATGTGTACAAATTGTCTTCTTTGGTCTCTGAAGGTCAAGCCAAGAAGGCGGGTAGTGAGATTGTCAAGCAGACTGGCAATGCTCCGTTGAGTGGGTATGGATGACTCTCGGCCTATATGGATGGCACAATATACTAACCATTCACTACACCAGGCTGCTGTACCCGATTCTCCAGGTTCTCGATGAGCAACATTTGAACTGTGATGCTCAGCTCGGAGGCATCGATCAACGGAAGTTGTTCGGTCAGTCGCGATACAAAATCCCCAAACTACAAGCCACAAACTAACACACAAACCCAGCCGCGGCAACGGAGTGGCTCCCCAAAATTGGATACCGCGTTGTACGTTTTCATCCTACGCTATTAGCTATCAGAGGCTTACCTATCTATGTCTAGCGCGCCCACCTTCTAAATCCTATGATGGCCTCATTATCCTCCGGCAAAATGAGCTCCAGTGATAGCCCAGGTATGTCCCTTCCCTTTTATCGGTTATCTATATAGAGGTCATAATATGCTAAAGCCGACTAGATAGTAAAATCGACCTTCTCGACCCTGCCGAGAGCATCGCAAAGAAAATCCGAAAGGCAGAGTGTTTCCCTAAGATCGTCGAAGACAACGGCGTGATTTCATTGGTTGAGCACATTCTATTTCCCGCAGCTGTCCTTAAGGGCCACGGAGAATTCCGCGTCGAGCGTAAGGACGCCGAGCCTCTGGTCTTCTCCGATATCAAGCAACTACACGATGCTTACAAAGCTGATATTGTATGTCTAACTATTTTCTTATCTCCAAAGGCTTGTATCATTTACTAACGCACGTTATAGTTGACACCACAGCTGCTTAAGCCTGCTGTCTCGGCCGCCATGGTCGCCCTTATGGCCCCTATCCACGCAGCCTACACGGCCTCGGCTGAATGGCAGGAGGTTACATCGAAGGCTTACCCGCCTCCGGTTGTGCAGAAGAAGGTCAAGAAGGTCAAGGATCGCGGCTCCCGCTTCCCTGGCGCCAAGCAAGAAGAGGCCGCGCAGCCTTCCGAGCAAGAGGCCGCTCAACCTTCAGAGCAATAGATAGTTTCTGCAAAAGAATAGAGCGCACATCAGACATCTAAGACTGACCACCATACGCATATCTGGCAATATATCGTTCTTCCCTTTTACCAGGGATCTAAGGCTCCTGTTGAACTCCTAGGCATGCATACATGATTGTTTGCTGCAGACTGAGCCTTCTTTTGTTTGCTATTTGCTATTTGTTGTTTGCTACAATGAGCAATGTTCAGATGGTTTGCAGGGTATATAAACCCCTGCATAATTAGTTTTAGCAATTAAGAATCTTTCTTCTACTTTTTCCTTCTCATAATCTAAAATCCATACATTGTCCATCAGCTCCAATTCGACAGGGTTGGTGATCACTTCGTGGACATCCATGGAAGTCTACGCCCCCGGACCAAAAAGGATTGGTCGGCTGATTTGAGTTTCCGAATCGGATAGAAGACACTTTGAGACTGAAAGCTATGTGTAGTCAAAAAATAAATAAAAAAGCCATTGTTGCATCTTCCACTGCCTAGTGTCAAATTTTAAGCTACGCAACGCCAACTCCCGCTAGAACCAAAACAGGGGTATTTGTATCGTGTATCAATGCCTACGCCAATTCCGCCTCCATTCGAGCCTGTCGGCAAGAATATCCCAACTGTGAAGACCATCTGCACGGGCTAGGCTTTTCAAGCCATCCGTCACAAAGGCGGTTAGATGATTGAAGTTGTTGTTGACTGTTTTCATCTGCTGGCTGTATGTCGATTCACGAAATGAGACTGTGAGTGTGTGTTCGCGTTTCATATGATCGTAGTCCTCCTCCTCATCATCATCATCGGAGTCGAACTCGTCTCCAGCGTCCCTCTTTTTGCGCGGTGTCTTCAGATTCTTTGGATGGTGTTGTTCTTCGTCGCCGATCAAGTGCGCGGCTTGTAGATCTGCGAAATGAACACACAGATCCAGGAAATTGATTATTGCGTCATGGATATGTGATAAATCTTTAGAGAGGAGGCACTGGGCTTCCAAAGAAGACATGTAGGATTGGTGGGCGGCTATCATGGCATCAACATCTTGTGCACCAGATAAATCTTTGTGTAGAGATTGGGTTGCGGTGGATATCACGAGATAGGTCAGATGACCGTAGATGAAATCGAGAACCCAGAGCATGTTATGGTGTAGAGCGCGCACCAATGTGTCATTGTCGCCAGGTGTGACGACGCGAGCGTCGCGAATACGCTGTTTCACAATTGCATATTTAGCGCGTCTGATTTGCATCAGGAAGGTTGAGATCCGTTGGTAGGTGTGTATTGCGTCCTCGGTGATTATGTTCGCAATAGGCCATGGGAGGCCATAATCAATTAAGATTGCTTCCAGAATCCCCACAGTCCGGTGATTATTTTCAGAACCCCGCGATGATGGAGTACTAGCTGGCCGCACAAGGAGTCTTGATGTGTCAATGACAGATACTGAACTGAAAGCCGTCCTTGATATCTCGGTGAGCAGGAACCTGTCATCCCAGGAACGACCCCGATCGATCAGCTCAAATATTTTAGCGTCAACAATGCTGACGGCGCTCATGTCTTTAGCGAGGTAGACATGCTGAAGGGCATCAAGGGAGGTCCATAATCCGCATTGTTGGTCGAGTTCGGTTCGTAATAGGCTAGCACTGAGTGAATGATCCACATCCACAAGCTTTTCAAAAGCGGACTCTACTAATGCGGGGAAAGGAAGTAATAGTGAAGAATCCTGGGAATAGAGGTCCTCGAATCTCATGGTCTCAATGTCTGGTGGCGCATTCAGATGGAGTAGGAATACCATGCTCTTCCCCGCCGTAAAGACTTTATGGACACCAGCTTCGAGGAACCGAGGGATCCTCTGCTGCCCGTAGCCCATATCAAGCACAAACCAGTCATGCCAAAGAGTTCGAAGATCCCCGTTCTCATTCTCACGATTAGATCGCACGAAGAAAGTGCTGTCCGAAGCATCAACCTGACCTTTTTCCATCCAGAGTCGAATCGAGCTTGAATATGTTTTGAAACACATAAAGAATAGCTCTGCCAGGCTTTGAGATGTACTTTCGTCGCCAAGGGCCTCCAACATACATATTAAGTCGTATAACGAATCAAGGCAGCACATTGGTTGATCAGTCGAGCTTTTGTCTAGCTTGGTGATCATTTCTGCAAGCAATGCTAGCTCGTGGGAGTGTTGACGAACATCAACAAGAAGCTGGATGAGACTGATAGTTGACCCAGCGGAAAGGTATTTGCACTGAAGTTGAGATAAGACTCTACTAAATTCAAGAAGACGCTCTTCTAAACCTCGGCAAAATGTTTGCATATATGGGATGGTCTGTGGGAGCTTGGTGAAATCTCGTACATCGTTGAGTTTGGCGCCTATATCGCTAAAACACTCCAAAAGCGATGACAGGGCTTCGCTGGATGAATGTGCAAGTGTGTATCTTCGATCCACTCCAAAATCATCGTCCAAACGTACATAAACAGACGTCGGAAGGCCCTGGAGCATAAAGATAGTCTCTCTAGCAAGCTGGGATTCTGTGATGGGTCGTGTGGCTGCTTCTCCTCGGGGCGGCGAAGGGTGATTTTCCGCTCTCCAGAATTGAGCCTTTTCTAGAGAAGCAACAAGATCCCCATCCTCTGTTGGAACAAAAACGTCCTCTGGTATCGTGTAGCTTTCATCCACCGTTGTGGCTGATTGAGGCCTGTGCTTTGGGAGAGATACATCACTGGCAACGGATGAAAAGTCGTCATCTGATGAGTCGCCAGCAAAATCTACCTGTTCCCAAATTTCTTCATCGCTAAATGCAGTACCTTCTGCATTAAGGTCGGACCAAGAAAGAGTCTCTTTTGCTTCTGGTGTCTTGGTCCCTTCCTCCGGACGTTTGACCGTAGACAGAAGAGCGGGGCGATCTGAGAGCTGCAGAAAGAGACTCAGGATCTCTGGGAGCCAGGAGTGCCGATTTCTCTCCAGATCCGCAAGGCGGCTGTGAAGGGCTTCGGCAAGTTCATCTCTATTCAAGATTTGAAACTTTTCCTGTAGTCCCTCGAGTTGCTTGGTGACTGCAAATTGGTCGGTGCGCGTATGAGATCCAGTTCGGAGACCCGCTTGTACACGACGCTTCAGACTCTGGGTGTGCGCAGACCCCTACATATATATTAGTACATCATGCCTGATGATATGAGAATAATGAAATTCAATATAATACCTTGTGGTTCGGCGGTATCTTGGCAACGGAAGTGATCAAGGCATCAATAAGCGTACTTAAATCAGCAGCGAGAGCCATTTTCAGACATAGGCTCGGATTTAGAAACAAAGATAAATCACATCAAGATGTCTCTAGGCGTCATAAACTGAAGAAGCATAAAGTGAAGAGAGACCCGGATGTTTTGCTTGGATGGCGCTAGTCCCGATAAGGTAAGATGGCCACTCTTATTACGCGCCTCTCTCTCCCTCCGAGTATCTCCCCCCTTTAAGCAAATACCACCATCATGGCTATCGCACGACCGATTCGCATGCTGGGTGCAGCATGTATCCTTCTTTGTCTATTTATGGTCTTCCAAATACACCAGAGCTCCTCTGAAGAAGGGTCTAAGTTGCCTCATGGCATGAAAAAGGATCCTCTTGTAGATCGTGCGTGACCCCAGTTTCTTGCCACACCTCCTATTACAACCATCGCACTCTTAAATTCCATACTAACAAGTCGCATAGCTACCGGAGAACCTGTAGGAAACTTATGGCGAGCCGACGAACACGACTACTCCCCCGATAGCGAACAATCGGCCCGCACCAATGCTGCGCTCATTACTCTCGTCCGCAATGAGGAACTGGATCAGCTGCTTTCGACAATGACTGATCTGGAGCGAACATGGAACAACAAGTTTAACTATCCCTATATTTTCTTCAACGATGTGCCCTTCACCGAGGAATTCAAGCAGAAGACTCGGGCAATGACCAAGGCGAAGTGCCAATATGGTATATATTCCAGCCCGGTTAGAACAAGAGGAACCATACCTAACTTTACATCCAGAACTTGTGCCCAAGGAACACTGGGACGTCCCAGAATGGATCAATATGGAACTCTTCCGCGAGTCAGCAAAGGTGTTGGAGGAACAAGACATCCAGTACAGCTCCAAGGTCTCCTACCACCAGATGTGTCGCTGGAACAGCGGCATGTTCTACAAGCACCCTGCTCTCGCAGGCTACCGCTACTACTGGCGCATTGAGCCCAATGTCAAGTTCTTCTGCGACGTCGACTACGATGTGTTCCGATACATGGAGGATGGTAACAAGACCTACGGTTTCACCATCAACCTCTACGACGCACCACAGAGTATCCCGTCCCTTTGGCCCGAGACTCAGCGATTCCTCGCCGCCAACCCGTCGTACCTCAGCGACAACAACATGTGGGAGTGGATTACGGATGACGTGGCCCGTCCCGAGCACACCAAGGGCGCCAATGGATACTCCACCTGCCACTTCTGGTCCAACTTCGAAATCGGCGATCTTGACTTCTTCCGCGGCGAAAAGTACGAAGCGTACTTCCAGCACCTGGATCGCGCCGGTGGATTCTTCTACGAACGCTGGGGTGATGCTCCCGTTCACTCACTCGGAATTGGTCTTTTCGCCGATGCCGCCAACGTCCACTGGTAAGTCACATTCCCTTTTTCCCATTTAAGAACCCCTCCCACTCACATGTATCTACGCTAGGTTCCGCGATATCGGGTACAACCACGTCCCGTATCTTAACTGCCCTAATTCTCCCAAATGCTCCGGCTGCAAGGCTGGCCAGTTCTTCCAAGGCGCAGACTTCCTTTCCAAGGAGGATTGCCGACCCACTTACTTCAAGTATGTTGGAACGCACTAATTATGATGATATCCCGTTTGATATATTCTCTGGTCTCTTGTCATTCTGGAGAATCCTTCACGACTCGATTCCTTGCATCACCTTGCATACCCCTATGACTATATTACTGAATATCAGTGGCTTGGTACCCGGCGTTTAAGCGGACACATACCTTTGTGTATTGATGATTTTGTGTTCCCTTTTCTTTCCTCCGTTTTTGGTTTATTCCTTGTCACAAATATACGTTTTGGCCATGTTGCTGTTTCCAGGAGAACTACGGGGGCCTTGTACTTATATCGATTGCGCGTGGTCATTGTTGGAGGCCCTGTTTGTTTAGGTCGGGTGCCTCTTTGTCTGCTTGTTGCAGTTGTCATTTTGTGTGATATATTCGCTACATAGGAACAAAAACCGAGATTCAAGACCAGTCTGGCTATTTGACCATTTTGAGGCAATATCCTCCGTAAAGATAAGTGTAGGAAAGTTGATGATTAAGGAATGAGGATTGAGGATCGAGGACTGAGGACTGACTTGAGCGGTTGATAATACAACAATGTAGGATGGCTGAACAAGATGGAATCAAGATAGATTAAGCACCAACCAAGTAAGGCACAGAAGACCTTTTTCCAGATAACAGCAGCACTAACAACACAAGAGTCTCTAAAGTATGTATACAGTTTTCTCTTCTACCTGACCTCTAATCCTCAGCCAGTCAAAAAGTGCTGGATAAACAACATGCGAGGGGGTACTGTTTGTTTTAAGAGAAAATTGACGTAAAAGTAGAATTGATGATGGGAATTTACGCCTCCTGGGGGTAGAGCTCCTCCCGGAGAGCGACGCCCAGCTCGACGCGCAGACCCTCGAGGGACTCGAGGTATTGCTTGTACTGGTCGGGGTTCTCGACCTTGGCCTTGACACCTGATGACGAAATGACGTTAGCTCGGGTTCAATAACGAACGATACTGGTGCTCCAAGATAGGATGTTGTGGAAGCGTACCCTCGAAGACGCGAACAGCGGTAGGGAAGTCGTTAACACGGCGGGCGGCCTTGAGGGCGGCAGTGAGGACCTCGACGGAGGGAACGAGATCGTAAGCGAAGCAGTTGTTCAGGTTGCGCTGTTTGCAAAAGACATGCATTAGTCATTTGTCGAATTGGTGCGGATATAGGAGCCGCATGTTGATTGACGGGTGTGGCTGATGCCATGTATCGCATGGCGATCAATATGCCTCGGGTGAAGTCGAGATAGTCATACCTGGAGCTCGAAAACGTCCTGCACACCATCGAATTCCTTCTCGAATCTGTCATTGGGAGACACGGTCAGCATGAGATGTCCTTATCATGTCCAGACGATTGCCGATGTTGGTTCCGGGAAGCGCCTAACATGGAGATGCAGGGCGCTTCTGTCCGACTCTTCCGACCCTCAATGGCTTGCGATTGGAGGCGTACCTGGCAGAGAACTCTTCGTATGTCTCATCCTCGTGGCCGGAGCGGAGCATAGAGGTGGTACCGAAGTTGTGAGCGCGGGCGGCGGCCAGAGTCACCGGGGACTGCATCCGGGACCGGGTCAATTGGGGAGCTCTAAAGAAGCCGGTAGGGCGAACGGCGCGGGTCGCCACACGGAAGATGGATAGGGACGACATTTTCGGAAGGTGACCACGGTGGACCGGACAAGGACAATGGTGAGGGGAGAAGTGTGGATGGGTACGGGAAGGGGAGGTGTGAAGTGCCTCTAGGATTTTGCGGGTGGTGTGGTGTTGACGCCTGAGGCAGTAACACGGGTGATGACTCATCATCCGATTGGCCCCGTTCCAAGTTGTCTTGATCTCAAATGATGGTTGCTGATTGGTTGGATGGCTGTCACTTTCTAGATGCGTGTCATTGGCCGAGTCCGAAGGTCATGACAGTCAAGTTTTATTATATGGCATAGCTATTGTTGGATCATATATATATATACCTAGGTATATATCTATGTCACACATGATAAGCTTAGATATTGAAGAAGACTGTAACGTTGAAAAGTGGAAGATCAACTTTTATAGCAATTGGAAGTTCAAGTATATATTTTTGACTTAATTGTTGTACTAAGGAACTGACTCAAATTTATTCGAGCAATGAATCCTATTGAAGACGGTGTATAAAACCAGGGAATTTGACTAGATATATGAGTGTAGGCTTTTGAGCTTATACCTCGGCTGAGAACTAGAATTGACTATATATATAGTTAGTAGGCAACATCCCAATAACTATTAAGATCTTCCTAACTTTCATAAACCACCTTTATAGTCCCCGCCAAGGCTATTGCCAATGGCAAGTTTTAACGATATTCAGTTGTGATTCAATAATAAGAAATGACTAGACATCCAATGCAACGCTTCGGGTATGGATCTAGTTAAGGCGGAGACTGGAATCCACCTAATGCCTTAACCATCAAGGGCAAAAGATATGCACATAGTCATTGATTTGGATAACGCCTCGGCAATTTCACATATAACTTGCCAGGGTATTTCATTGTAATAGATAATGCGCTATTGGCATTTAACTAGACTAGCATGTGATGGATTCCCACCGAGGACAGCATTGCCTTCAGCAACAGTGCACTATGTTGTACATAGTACTCCGTATATATTTTATAATCTGGGGTTTGGTATTAAGAAGAATAAGAACTAACCATACAACTATAGATGAATCTATTAAAGGTTTCACATGTTCGGACAATATAGTTACTCCAAGTCGATGCGATCGGAACCTGATCTTCCCCTTTTTTATGACACGCTAAACCCTTTTTGGTCCTCAACGGACGCGCCGGACGCAAAAAGTAATTGTGCTCTTATTTCTCCAGCTTATCCCTCTCTCTTCTCTCCCCTCCCCCTTTCCCACTTTCATTTCTTTGGCTTTCCTTTCATTCCTTTCCTTTCCTAATAGGCCTTTCTTGTTTTGTCGGTTTATTGCAGTCTTATTACTGCGTCAAAGAAAAGAACAGGTTGCCTTTCAGGGCTATCTTTATCTTCAATTCCATATCCATATTGTTTGAGAGAACAACCTAATCCTGTCACAATGGCATCCGAAATCCTTAAACATGTGTCGGTCCCGACTCTCGATCGTCCCTTTGGCGTGCACCTGTGGCCCCTCTTCGACCAGGCCTACGAGAAGGTCATGGGGTATCCCGCCAGCGAGTTCAACTTCACCGAGGGTGTGACCCCTCTGTCCACCTTGAAGGAGACTACAGTGATGCTTATCACCTACTACGCTATCATCTTCGGTGGACGTGAGGTCATGAAGAAGTTGCCTGCGTTCAAGCTTAACACCTTGTTCATGATTCACAACCTCCTTTTGACCACCGTGAGCGGTATCCTGCTGGTCTTGTTCATTGAGCAGCTGCTCCCCACCCTCTGGAGACACGGAGTCTTCTACGCCATCTGTGACCAGCAGGGTGGTTGGACTCGCCCTTTGATCATTCTTTACTACGTAAGTTGCGAAGCGCTTGAACCGTTAGAAGGAGAGAAACTAACCCAAATCTCGACTAGCTCAACTACCTCAACAAATACGTCGAGTTCATTGATACCGTCTTCCTGGTCCTCAAGAAGAAGCCATTGACTTTCCTTCACACCTACCACCACGGTGCCACTGCCCTCCTCTGCTACACCCAGCTCATCGGTGTGACTGCGGTGCAGTGGGTGCCGATCACCATCAACCTGCTGGTCCACGTCGTGATGTACTGGTACTACTTCCAGAGCGCCCGCGGCGTTCGCATTTGGTGGAAGAAGTACATCACCATGCTGCAGATCCTCCAGTTCGTCATTGACGTCGGTAAGTCATTTCAGGCCCGGTAACCTGCGAAGAATGGAATACTGACAGTTCCAAGGCTTCATCTACTTCGCTTCGTACACCTACTTCACCTCCGCCTACTTCCCGTGGCTCCCTAACATGGGCAAGTGCGCCGGTGAGGAATTCGCTGCCATGGCTGGTATTGGCATCATCAGCTCCTACTTGGTCCTGTTCATCTCTTTCTACATTGCGACCTATAACAAGACCGCCAAGACCGGACGTCCCCGCCGCAACACTGGCCAAAAATCGTTGATCGACATGAAGAACTTCGAAATTCCTTCCCCGGCCGGTGCCCAGAACGGCAGCGCCAAATCCACTGGCCGCTCCAACGGCCCTGTGACACGCTCCCGCAAGGCCTAAATAATCCACCGAAGCACAATTGCGTCTGAATGTTTTCAGCGTGTGATTTGGAAGAATTGTATTACCCCACGAGTTTGATTGTGGAATCATCTTGGGATAAGCCATTGCTTCATCCGATGCTTGTGGCCAAACAAAGCAGAAGGGCAGAGTGGCTGCTCTTGGGTGATACGTCCCTATATTTGTTTAATGAATGAACACCTCATGATGCCCAGGTCCATTACCCGGGCATGGGGTATGTGCCTCGGAGTTGTCGGAATACATGCCCCGAAACTTGTCGGAAAACCTACCGGGGGATGTTGGATTACCCCGGCGGTCTCGTCATGGTTGTATTTTATAATGTTTTTCTTCTTCTGTTCATGTTTGTTGTTATCACCCGTTTGGTGGCAGGCCATTGGATTGTACCATTCGCCCTTATTATTATTATTATTAAATTATTCATTGATAGACGTTAGCTCATTGTATCAATATAAATGTAGGGTGTTGATAGAGGGACTTGGATGCTGGGACACTTATAGGGGGGTATCCCTCTATCAAGACCCTAAATGTAATCATGTCCGTTCTTGAAATCATGGTATAGATTGGGAAAGAGACTGGATACCATATGGCGGGTTCGTAACTGATCAGCAAGGGATGTTTGCTTTCCACCTGGTCAAGGTTGATCGATTTTCCACGCTGTCAGCACCTTCCGCATAGCCGGGACTGAGGATACATGGCCCATGCAGAGACAGTCTGTATCTCAAGAGACCATCCAGCCAGACCGTCTCTCGAGGTTATCCATCAAGTCTATTGATTTCGCCTCCCAAACAATGAGAAGTCAAATAGATAACCTGTTGATGTGGCAACATAAAGTGTATACACTGACCTCTGTAGCACAATGTGTAGTGTCACACTGGAAACTGCACCGAAGAAACAGAAACGCAGGAACAGGAACCGCCAGGTGGAGCTTCGATGCGCGCAGCATGGCCTGTGCGACGAGGCACAAACAACGCCACGAAAGTGATGTATCTCATATGCCCCGGATGTTGACCCAGTGAGAAAGGCGATCATTATCCAAGTGTCGACGAAACGGGCAGAGCTTCAGCCTCCCCCTCAAAGCCTTTGACCCGGAAGGCGAGGAGTAAGGTAGGTTAGTTATATCCATCCAGCCTCCCAGGTTGAAAGACAGGTACAGCCATTGATATAATGGGGCTGGGTGCAATTCAATAGACCGGGACAAGAGATAAAGTCCAAGGCAGGAAAGGATATGGATTATTTGCTCATTGCCCATTTTTGTCGAAAAGTTACAAGCGCCTTGCTTGGATGTCATGCGCGTGGGATATTCGGAGACTGGACGGATATGCAGGGCCGGGGTTTGCTACCGGAGCATAGACGCCAATTCGAAAAAAGAAACAGGAAAAAAGAAAGAAAAAGAAAAAGGATAAGCATGTCGTAGTGGCCGTGTTGACGTTTATAGTGAAGATCAGCAACATGAACATATGATGTCCCTGGTCGGATTTGAAACGCCTTGGATGTGTCAACGGAGTGGTGGCGCCGAATCCTTCGTAGAGACCCACTTGGTACGGAGAGGGAGAGTATTGGTCAATGCAGGTTAGTTGAAGTAGATGTCAAGAGTTTGACGTGCAGAATGTGTATGTATGAAAGAATGGGGGAACACATGTAGTTATTGTGTGTATCCTTACTGGTGGCGGTACTAGTAACTATATGTTGTATGTTGGAGTAGTACTATCACAGATGATATGATATGATATCCATGAATGACAGGTGAGATAGAATTGGAAAATCGCCGATGGATGTTAGATGTAAGGAGAATACGGAGTAGAGTTTTTTTTTTTTTCATATCTTTTCCCAGTATCTTGGCTGTTGAATCGTCATGATCATTCCAGTCCCTTCAGGAGTTGTGTGTTCCTGGGTTCCTGGGTTCCTGGGTATAACCCCTGATTTCCTCCCTGAAGAGTAATATATCTCCAACTTCCAAACCCCTGGCAACTTCGGAAGAATTTTCATATGTTGTACATAGACCCGAACAAGACCGAGTGTACCCCCGTTTGAAGCTAAATGGAGACCGTTCATAAGTGTGTTTGAGCTTTATACGGCCCCACCGATCTCGGACTTGGCAACACGCTGGACACCAAATGTGATTCGATCAGAACTGTTGTACACTTTTACTCCGTAGTTGACTGTTCCCACTATGGGTTCATTTCAATCTAAACTGATCATGTTGAGTATTCCATATTCCATATGGGGGAATGCTTCCAGGGACAGATGTCTCATTTGTATATAGTATGCATAGTATGATTTTCCTACGAAGGACTCTCTGGGGTTGGCCCTTGGTGCATAATTTCAGGCTCTGATATGCATAAATGTCCAATTTCATTGAACAAATCGCGGAGTATTAGGAGCATGGGCCTTGAACCAATTGGTTATGGTGATCTATCAGATTGGGCTTGAATACTATGTTGTATACGGAGGATATGGTTACCTAAGTATTTCTTTTTGCCTCCCCTATTTTCACTTTTTTAATGTATATTAATGTATAATGTATAATGTATTAATGTATTAGTGTTTTAATGTTTTAATCTAGTCCTCCCACGATATCCAGTGTAACGCGTTTTTCTCCCCCTGCTGAAACTGGCCAACCCGCCCTATTTTTTTTTCTCCATGCAAGGGTGAGACACCAATCACCAACCCTCAAGGGTTTACTTACGCGCTGGCTTCTACAAAATTTAGTTAAAAATAACAAAAAAATAATAAAAAAAATAATAAATCTGGTGAGTAAATCCAGGACTATTGAACCTTTCTATTTTCTGCCTTTCTACCTTTCTACATTTCTACACGTGTACAGGACATGGAGAATGGTCCCTGGATGCCTTTTTCTTCCTTCTACCTCCGTCCTATATACATCCCCTGCCCATAGCTCCTTGGTCCCACTACGGTCCCTTTCCTTAAAGAGCCCTTTTGCCGGATTCTGTTAGGGATCTCCTTTACAGCTTGGTTAGGATATTTGACAGCTGTTGTATCTCCTAGTGTTACCCTATTCTTCGCCGAGGGTACTTTCTTCTTCTTCTTTCTCTTGGGAGTTTGGATTTCCCTTTGGCTTTGGAACTACCTCTACTTTGGAACTGTCTACACTTGTAGCAGTCACTCTTTTCTCCTGTTCTATCTTTTATCCCCGATTACAAACCATATGACTACCGGGAACATGTTTCAACCTACTACCTCACTGAGCCTACACCGCTTGAGCAGACATAGCCTCCAGGACCGATACGAATCAGACGAAGAGGCTGTGTCTGAATCTGATACAGGCGCCCAGGATCTACTTTCCTCGCCCGTAGGCTCACAAACTGGAATCTTTGATTCTGATCTCAGTGCCGACGAGAATTCTCACGCAGACCCCGATTCTGATCGGGAGGAAAATAATCTGGCTCCGCCAACAGTCAAACGGGCCCGGCCCGTCTCTTCTGCTACTGTCAAGAGAAACAGCGAGGCCACTTTCGACGAAGATACGTACGTCTTTGATCCGGAGGAGCAGATGGTCCTCGAACTGCCACCCTCAGATTCTCCGTCACAACTGGCATCTAGCACCTTTCTACAGCCATCGGTATACGTCTGGCCAAAACAACCGCCAACCACCTCAAGGTCTCGCTCTACTTCACCTTCATCGGTCTTTTCCGTAGAGGATGCAGACATTCAGGTTGCAAAGGAGGTGACCATCATGGAGCCCGGAACTCGTCCCACAGTGGTCTTGATCAACCGTCTGGGGTCACTGTCAAAGACCTCAAAATCCCGTCCCAGCCATTCCCGCTCCCAGGAAAGCAGCCGCCACCGTTCTGTGCTCGCCAGGGCTGACAGCCGCCGACTTACCATGCAACGCTTGTCAGACCCAGCCACCAAGTCAACGCGAGTATCCGAGAAAAGAAGCACCATGAAGCAGGCGCCCAAGATAGCTCCAATCCCATCCCCAACCCCAGCCCTGGAAAAAGAAACACAGGTCACATCCAGAGCAACCACCAATCGAGTCTCCGAAACATCCCCAGTCCTCTACTTCCCAGCACCACCACGCACCGTCCCAACCCAAGGCTACCCCCGAACTCGACCCCAAACCTCCGGTTTCGACAAGACAATGCCACAACCACTAAGCCTGCGTACCCGTCGACCCCCCTCATTTGCGCAACATAAGCACCAACAGCGTCCCAACATACACCTCCCGCCCCTCAACACCCTTCTCAGCCGAAGACGCCAGACCAAATAATTACAACGACGCACCCTCCCAACTCACCAGACCCTGCAGCCCGGCCTCAATCTCCTCGCCATCATCATACTTCTCCTCAAAGCGCGTGCCCTCAACATACAGTGTATCGAATATCCTCACCAGTCGCTCCCCACTTATGATGCGTCGCATGACAAGGAAACACTCTGCCTCCAGCGTGAATTCATTGAGTAGTCTGCGCTCAGAGGTCGGCGTCAACGGTCCCTCTTCATCGCAGATCTCCGTCGCTACTCAGCCCGCTCCTATTCCTAGTGCTGACTGCCATGTCGTGCGCAAGTCTAGCAAACGTCGCCATACACGTCACGCTAGTGTTTTGCCCAGTGGGAGGGGCTTTATGGGGTTGAAGCTGGGGAAGAGATCGAATACTAAGGCTTAGATGAGGGTCTTGCCTTTGTTTTTTTTTTTGTTTTTGTTTTTTTTGTTTTTGCTTTTTGTTTTCTGGTACTTTTAACATATATATTGATCTAGTAATGTTTTTATGGAGGATATCTAGTCTGCTTTGGGTTTCTTATTCTGGTGTCTTTTTGGTGTTTTCTGGTTTCTTTTGGACGAATATTTGTTTTTCATCTCTTTTCCTTACATCTGTCTCTGACCAGCTAATGTATGACGGTCCTTGTGTCCTTGACTTGGACAGGATTCTGGGATGGTTAATGTCTACTTCAGTGTTTGGCGCATGGTATTTGATTTTGGGGAATACTATAAGGAGATTTTGATTTTGATTATGTCCTATCCTGATTAGTTCTTTAAAATTACATAGCTAAAGATGTAGCTATCGATATATTATCACTCAACACACCTCTTTCACACTAGAACTCATTAGTCCAATTTCCAATCCAACCCCGTCGATAAACCTTGCATGTATTGCCAGCGTATACGAAGCTTAGCAAGGGGGTATTCGACGAGTTCTTGGCAACATAGACCAGGAGAACCGGCTGGAATTGGGTTGATGGGATGGATATAGGTGAATTCGCTGCTTGCTACAACAATACGAGTAAATATTGTCTGTCCACTTCGTCTTGAATGGATTTGTACGATTTACAACATAGAAGGACCATGTGGCCATGTGAAAATTTCATGTTTGACCCACTGCCCGATAGATCTGAGATTCTGAGATTGGGAAGGTTTATTATCCACTACAGCCCGCTAGGGGGTTCGGCTGGGGGACTCCCCCATGAAGGTCCTCATTAAATGCCAAGTGTGGAATTTCTGGATTGGGAGTGTGTTTTTTCTCTTTTTTTTTTTTTTATAAAAAGAAGGATTGGAAGTGCATTAAATAATTCGACCTACTGGATATGAAGAGTAATTCGATGAAAAAAAAATAGCAGTTAACAATGCATCTAGCGTGAGCGTGGAATGGAGCAATAAACCAGCCACTTGGGCATAAGATTGTTAAACAAGGAGCAATCCGAACATAGCATATAGTCATAGAAGGAAAGGACTATTGGTTCTCGTCGAAGCCTACTTCCGTGCCTCTAGGGCGGCTTTGATGGCTGTTGGAAGATGAATTAGCACCATTTCAGTTTATACATATGCATCCAAATAAAACACTCAACTTACCATCACAAGAGGTCTTGGCATCACCGAATAGCATCCGAGTACCGGGCATAAAGAACATGGGGTTGGGAACATCCGCTGTGGAAAATGTTAGATGGATTCATTGACCAGGAATAGGAATGACGGAGAAGAAATCATACCATATCCGCTGGACATCCCCCGCTTCATAACTATCACCTCCTTACTCTTCCATGCATGGAGGACAGGCATGCCGGAGATAGCGGAGTCTGGCTCCATGGCGATCGGGTTAACGGTATCATTAGCGCCGATGACGAGCGTGACGTCTGTGTCCGAGAAGTCCTCGTTGATCTCTTCCATCTCCAAGACGACTGTACCAATTGTTAGCGAATAATCGACAAATACCAACCATAAAGAAATCTTACTATCATATGGAACGGAGGCCTCTGCAAGCAGCACATTGCATTGACCGGGCATTCGGCCAGCAACAGGGTGAATAGCGAAGCGAACGTTGACACCACGGGAACGCAGCAGCGCAACGATCTCTGAAAGAGCATACTGCGCCTTGGCAACAGCCATACCATAACCAACCACAATGATGACATTCTCAGCGCCGGATAGAGCTTCCGCGGTGTCATCGATACTAGTTTGCTTGATCTCGCCTTCCATCTTCTTCTGAGTTTGTGCAGCCGGAGTCGAGATACCACCGAATAGGACATTCGTCAGCGACCGGTTCATGTTGACGCACATGATGTATGAGAGAATAGAACCGCTGACACCGATGAGGGATCCGACACTGGTAAGAAGTGGATTGTCGAGCATCAGGCCTTCAGCCACGAGGGCGAATCCGGAATAAGCGTTCAACACTGTGATGACGACGGGCATGTCGGCACCGCCGATGGCGGCCGTCGTGGTGTATCCCTTCAGGAAACTGAGCACCGTGCTTGTTCCTAGACAGATAGCTGCGATTGCAGGGCTTCCTGGCGCTAGTGTAATGAACGCGCCCATGGTTGCCATGTTACTGCCCAATAGTGTCGAATTGATAACATGTCGACCGGGCAGAATCGTCGGCTTAGAAGACATGCGCCCTGCCAGTTTCAGGAAAGCGACGATCGAGCCGGTGAAGGTGATACCACCAATCAGAACACCCAAGTACGCTGTTGTCAAGTGTAGAGTTGTGATGTCACCAATATCGGCCAGCACACTTCCGGCACTGGTTAGAACAGCGGCCAACCCGACTACTGAGTGGAGAGCAGCGACGGTTTGAGGAAGACCTGTTGGTGTGATGCGACGGCCGATCAGGCCTCCGACTAAGGCACCTGTTCCAGCAACAGCCGTGAACTGTGTCAGCGTCTCAGGAGAGAAGCCTACTGCAGCGAGTGAGGCCAGAATACCGGAAACTACTCCCAAGATACCGAAGATGTTGCCGCGGCGGGCTGTTAGTTGGGATGCCAGACTAGAGATTGAGCCCATGCACAGCATTGTGCTGACGAGATATCCAGCTTGGACTAGACCCGACATACCGGTGCTGGCAGCCGCGATGAAGCCACCACCAAACACCACGGCTGGGACAGCGTACAGCCATGGGTACTCGGGAGGGTCGGTTGGACGCTTGAACATATCCAGCATGCGCTTCGTGACCACAAAGCCACCGGAGATATTCACGAAAGCCAAAAGCACGGAGGCAGCACCGAAGTATTCTGGGATAGTAGTCGGCACAAAGCCTCCTCCCATGATGAACAGTCCACCAATACCGACCATGCCCGAAATGGCATTCGTGACACTCATGAGCGGCGAGTGAAGCGCGGGTGCTACACCCCACACAGCACGATAGCCGACCAGTCCAGCAAGTCCGAAGGTCATCATGTTGCCCATAAAGACTGGTCCAGCTGCCTTTCCGAGGGCCAGGGTCGTGCCCATTGCACCTGTGACTGCTGTCACATCGCGTGTTGTCTTTTGCCAGGGCGTCAAAGCGACTTCCTCCTTTGGCGCGACAGCTTGCGCCTCTGGCTTTGGGGTTGGGGGTGGAGCGGGTGGAGCAGCAGGGGGGATTACTTCACCATTTAGAGTCACGATGGAACCGCGCACAACTTCATCTTTAAAGTCAATCCCAAACGACTTCTCCTGTGGAGCCATGGAGAGAAGGTACTTGGTGATATTGTTCGAGTACAGCGTTGAAGACTGGGTAGGGAGACGCGAAGGAAAATCTGTGTAGCCGATGATAGTAACATCCTTGTAGTTGCTCAATTCCCCGGGAACAGTAGCTTCGCAATTTCCACCTGCCTCAGCAGCAAGATCAACGATAACAGAGCCGGGTTTCATTGCAGCAATCATCTCCTTAGTAATGAGCTTCGGTGCAGGTCTGCCTGGGATCAGGGCCGTGGTAATAATGATATCAACCTCTTTAGCTTGCTCCATGAACAGTTTCATTTCAGCTTCGATAAACTCCTTGGACATTTCTTTGGCGTATCCGCCCTGACCAGAACCATCCTCCTGGAAATCAACCTCGACGAACTCGGCACCTAAAGACTGGACTTGCTCACGCACAGCAGGACGGGTATCAAAGCCACGAACAATAGCACCCATGCGGCGGGCAGACGCGATCGCGCTCAACCCAGCTACGCCAGCACCAATAACGAGAACTTTACTCGGAGGAATCTTTCCAGCTGCAGTAACCTGACCAGTCAAGAAGCGACCGAAATGATTAGAAGCCTCCAGCACCGCCTTGTAACCTGCAATATTGGCCATGGAGCTAAGGGCATCGAAGGTCTGCGCACGAGAGATTCGTGGAATGCGATCCATCGCAAAGGACGTCACGCCACGAGCCGCGAGTTCTTCCACGAGGGGCTTGTTCTGGAGGGGATAGATGAAGGAGATAACGGTTGAGCCTTTGCGTAAAGCCTGGATTTCATTGAATGGTCCCTCCGATTGCGGGCTGCGGACCTTCAACACAATATCACTCTGAGACCAGACTGCGTCCCGGTCGACCATTGTCGCGCCGGCCTTTTCGTAGGCATGGTCCAGTAGCTGAGCGCGCTCGCCGGCGCCGCGTTCGATGAGAACACGGGAAACCCCCTTTTTCAACAAAAGGGCAACATTCTGCGGAGTGATTGCCACGCGACGTTCACCAGGAAAGATCTCCAGAGGGACTCCAACGGTCAAGGCTGAGTAGGGGGTGGTAGACACGAGCTCGGAGGGAGGTGACTCAGAGGAGGTTGTAGCGGTTCGATTGGAAATGGAGGGCCATCGCGGCTTGCAAATGGACAGGCGTTTATTCTGCGACGCGAATGAAGTAACTTGTCGAACTTGAGAGGCTAAATAGAGGAAAGTAGTTAGGAAACAGCTCAAGTTGGGCATCCGATACCGCGATTTGGAGAAGCTTACTCGACGTCACCGGAAGGAAATATTTCCCTGCCCGAGCAATGGACGTGCCAAAGCGCGGCCGTAGGGCTGACCGGAGGGATACCGGAGCACTCATTGCGAGTAATCCTGCAAGCTGCACGTCGTTTCGGGTCTTTTTGTCTCATCTAATGCCTATTGGGCCCAGGAAGGGGTAGCAGGACCGGGGTACCGCATCCAGGCCAGACTGAAAGGCGAAGAGCAGCAACGCAAAGAGCTTTAGAAACAAAAGCTTCAAAGAGCATCAGAACTACAGCAGAAAGAGAGAAAGAAAGAAGAGAAAGGAGGGGAAATTGAAGTTAAGTCAAAGCACAGATCTCGGCACAACTTCCAAGTAAAAAGAGGGGAAAGCGGTTATGTACGATTCCTACCTTGCGATGAAACCCCTCGGATATTTGTAATTTATATAAATTAGTTTTATGGGTGTCTGTATACATAGCTTATAGCCTATATTCTGTACTATAGCCCTGGAGTACTATAGTACCATAATACTATAAATAATCTATAGCCTTTTCTCCCGCACCATAAAACGCGGGGAAGGCGTTGGAGAAGATTGATAAGCCCTGGATTCTCCACATTTACACATTTTAGGAACAATTATAGTATGTAAATAGTAACTATGTAGTATGTATGATAAATAGCAATTTGAATTAGTTTGAATGAGCTAGATTATTATATGACCTAAGTCCGAAACCCATCTATTGCAAATCTCTAAGGCATTGTATGCCTGGAACCAGTAGCCAGTAGCCAGTTACACTTCCACATTCCTCCACATCATCGACCAGTGCTCGATTCCCCATGGTCGGTGGAGTCCACTTCCTCCACGGTCTCAGTAGCACCCTTGCTATCAATGAAGTGAGTGATGCGATCACGAGGAAGCCAGGCACTCTCAGGCATAATGAAGTAGGAGATCAATGCCAAGATGGTGACTCCACTCATGATAATGGGGGCATCTATCCAGGAAGTTAGCGAGAAGAAAACCTATGAGAAAACGAGCAACATACAATTTAAGTTCTCGCCAGTGACTGGGAACACGTAGGGTGAGAACAGGACAGCGACGACCCAGCCATTCCAGAAGACACCAATGAACTGGAATGGCTTACTCCAGCGACCGAGACTCCACTGGGGTTTCGGGAATCGCGTCGGGGTGCACAGAAGTCGACTCAAACAGATCAGACCGTACGCAGCAGCGCTGGGAACACCGGCTGCCGAGACAAGGGATGTGAAAGCCGTGGCGGATGGAAGAAGGGTGCAAGTGACCAGGGCGGCGACAGCCCAAACAACAATAACTGCGTTCCGTGGCTGACCGTTGTTCACACGAGAAACCCAACCGGAGAAGGGAAGTACACCATCACGGGCGACGGCGAAGACAAGGCGAGAGGCGGCGATGATAGCAATTGCGGTATTCTGGAAAATATAGTCAGCTATGAGATATCCAAGCACACAAACGGATGATAACTCACCAGCCATAGAGCGAAGATGCAAATGATGTTCATGATGATATGGCCGCCCTTGCCTAGAACAACAGCGTAAAGAGGCACAAAGGGCTGGGGCGAGCCGAAGCCCATAAGTGTGTCGGTGTCAGGCTAAAGAAGAAACCAGGTCAGAAATTCGAACTTCGGGATTCACAGAGACCAAAGGAGACGAACCGCGCAGAACAAGAAGAGAATAATCGTAGCCAAACCACCGAAGCCACTGGCAACAGTACTCCAGAAGATACCACGAGCAGCAGTGACAGAGGCATTCTTGGTTTCTTCCGCAACATGGCCCGAGGCATCGAATCCAATCAGAATACCAGCGGTAGCAAGATAAGAAAGACACCAGTTCCAGCCAGCAGGGGCGCCGGTACCGTTGTACGTGGTCATAAAGGCCTCGTGGGTGGTACGGAATCCCCATGTTTGAGCGGTGCCAATGGGCAGCCAGATAAGGTTCATGAAAAAGTCGAGCATCACGACTCCAGCGGATCCCCAGAAGACATATCTGAAATAGCGAGCTAAAATGCTGTCAGAGGTAGTTGAATCCAGGCTACACGCGTTTGTACATACGAGGCAAGAAGTTCAACAGGGCGGCCAAAGCAAGCAAGACCTCAGTGCAGATCCACTGAACTGCACGGAATTTAACACTGCTTGAGTCCGACGGGAAATCGAGGTTGAATACGGTTATTTCCTAAAAGCGACATATCAGTCGAGATCCCGGGAAAACCAAGAAAGAAGAGAAACATACCGAAAGCATATAGTTAGTCGCAGCCTGAGTGTTGCCTATAAATCCAATTAGCATGATACAAGCATTTGGGGTTAGATACACAACTTACTTGCACAGAAGGTCGTCCAAGCCGTTGTACTCCACCAGGCGACGATAAAGCCCAGGAGTCGGCCAAATCGAGGCCCACCAGCTTCGGCGGCCCACAGGTAGATCGATCCGGCGGATGGCGAAGCCGAACAAACCTCAGCGATGACAGCAGCGGTAATGAAGGTGAACACCATGGTTACTACGTAACTAGTCCAATAGGCCAGGTTTCCACCGGCGGCAATACCCGTGCTGAAAGTAACGCGAACACCACCGACAAAGTAAAGAGCAGCTTGAAGAAAAGTCAGTACGATTGCGGCCCCAAAATGGGGAATGACGAAAAGCTCACCGAATGTAGTCGCGAAATTCTCGAACAAGGTGTATGTGCGATGAAGAACCTGTTTGGTGACTCAGTTGCTGATCACATATCATCTTAATCTATACAATTCGACCTACCGGCTTATAGCCCATGGTCCGCTAGAATATTATACCATGTTAGTTTGAGATTTACAAAAACAGACTGGATTGCACCACTTACCAGCAAGGCGGCATCATTCTGATTCTTGAGCTCGGCCCGATCAACCTCACCCTCACCTTGATTGGCGAGGAGGTCAGTGGAGCCAGCGACAGGGTCGTGAGGAGTCATGACAGATATTCAGATGAGAGAAAGAAAGCAAGTTGAAGTTCAATGAGAGAAAATTTATTGACTTTGTAAGGTTAATCCCGCGGTCCAAACGTTCCCTAACTGATCCACCGGAATCTTAGGCCCCACAGAATTAAGTGGATGTGATTTGATGACTATACTACATACTACCTACCTAGGTAGGTATGTATGACTTAACAATTTATATTATTAATATAACATATATAAAGATCTTACGAGATTTGATATTTAAGAATTATAAGGAGTATTAAATTGCCCGGGTAAGTATCATGTCGAAAATTATCAGTTTATTCGATTTCGGAAAAACATCCATATAAGCTCCGCGCTCGGAGCTGTCTGATCCGTAAACCTTACTCTTATCCAAACATATACTCCAGGCCTTGAATATTTGAAAGAGATAGATAGAATAAAGATTGGAGTAGTTATTGCTGGAATCTCCATACACAATTCGCTTCTGTTACACGGACTAGAAGTCCAATGTCGCCGAATTTGGCATTTGTGGGTTTATGGCAGATGCTCCACCCGGGGTGGGACAAGACTACTCCGTACCTATGTTGTAGGTACGTACCTAGGACACTATACTGCTTGGGTTTTCCTATTTTGGCTGCTGCCGCTTTTATGAGGGTGCTTAGAGTCAGGCTCACTGAGTAAAACTCAGTCCAGACTCAGACTGAGCTGCTCATGGTATGTCACGTGATAGATCAATATGGTCCAATGAGCGCTTAGTGAGTGCTTAGTGATTGTGATTGGCTGCTCACTAGGAAGCAAAACAAAAATCAAAACACACAGACACAGTACAAAGCAAAGCTCAGAACGCACGTAGTCATCTCTCGTAGCCTTTCCCGAAAAACCCATGGAGCAAGCTGCACACTCATTTTTTTCTCAGCACAAATACAAAATAGATCGTGGTCGTCGAGAACAACATTTGCCTTATGGCTATTCGGAGGTCGACGCATCAGTACTTCAAAGTCGAGAGCCAATGGCCCCCCGTAGACCACGCAGTTCTCGAAATAGGCCCTTTGGGTATACTGCATGATTTTTGCTGGATGTTCCCTAGTATTTGGCCCGGGCCGCAGATTGTCCACCTCAGACCAAACTTCCACGTCCACCGTCCAGATTGGCTCATGGCTGTTGTGGTGGCCTTAGGCCCCAACATAATGCCTCAGGGCATCAACCCCTCGACAGTAGTTATCTAGCAGTTTCTCTCTCTCCATAGCAATCAACTCTCTCCCTCTCTACTTTCCAGACCCTACCATCTGTAGTCTGTCTATCAGGTTATGAGCCCGGTTTTCTGATTGGCAAGATGATGTCACTGTGTCCTTCTGCAATTGTTTCCTGGCCTGAGCTAGAGTCCCAGCCCACAGCTGTGCCTGGCTTATAGGGCTCATAGTTGATGAAAAGCTCTTTGTTGGTGCAGATATGCCAGGAAGATCCAGTGTTAAGAACCCAATCAATGCCTTCTCGCAATTGGCGGCTCTTTGAAATCGACACAGTGGTTGTAGCTGAACCGACAAACCCTTTGTCATCAGCTGCTTTGTCATCGAGAGCTTTGTCATCGACGATCTGATCATTGTTCTGGATTCTGGAAAGCGCTTGCTGCAATAGCCATGCCTCCAAAGTCATAGGTGCGGTCCATAGCTGATGCTGTTGCTATTGCTGACGAAGCAACTGCATCGAAGTTGGCTTGCCGAGTTCTCTCTGTCGGCTTGCCAGTCATCTGTAATAATCATCACGTATTCGATCTCAACTTTGCCTGTCTTACTGTTTAAATCCTTTGGCTTAACAGGATGTAGATCGACGTGAAGCAACTGGCCTACTCTCGTAGCCCTTGCCTGCTGATCCCGAGACACAATTCTCTTCGATTTCCCCTTTCCGCAAGGTTCACAATCATAATGTTCTGTGCCAACGTCACAGCCAAGTTTGTCTTTATTGATCCGGCCTTTATAGCTACCGGCATGGCCCAGACGACGGTGAGCAAGTTCTGCTGAGATTGTGGCATTAGGCGCTACCGACAACTGGCTTTGGTTTCGGATAAACAACTGGGTTTGGTTCATCTGCAAGCTCAATGATCGGAACGTTCTTTGCGATGAAAGTGTAGCCGATTGGTGAGCCTTCTTTGTCCTTAATCATCATGTCTCGGAGGCTCCATTCGACACCCTGTTCTCTATGGGCTTTGATATAACCCAAGAGATTCAGGGTGTCGAATGGATTAGGACAACAAGCTTAGTCCCTCCGCCTGTGTTTGAGTGCCACCACCTGGCGTCGGCTACGGGCGACCCGACACATAACTCTCTTATTGGTTTATATTGCCAGGCAACAATTTAGATCCACTCTCACTTCACAAGTACCATTGTTGAATCTATAACTAGTTACTTTATATAGTATTTTTTATAAATGAATACTGTTGAGCAACCTAGGAGATTGTTTAACACTGGGCTCTTTATACTCCTAAGTCTTAAGTCTTGACTCTTGATTTCTTACTATCTTACTATCTTACTAACTGAATCTGAAGTGAATCTGAAGTGAATCTGAAGTGAATCTGAATTGAATCTATAAAGTGTATAGTATACAGATAAAAGAGAAGTTAAAATTAGTAAATGCTTTAAGAAGGTAGTAATGAACTAGGCGGTGAGGATCTCGGCTTGCTGGTGGGAAATTGTGGCTCTAACGCCCCGGAAAATGTCGGGCTCGTCCTCCAGCCTCTTAATGAGGGCTTGGTTAAGTGTGATGATGTGGAGGTATTGAGATTTGGGGAGCTTTGATAACGCGAACTGGTCTTTTAGCTGTTGAATGGCCTCTGCGAGGCCTTCAATAGTCGGGGACGCGAGGACCAAGGCGTGGGGCGGCACCACGAAATCGCTAGTGGGATCGTGGGGGTGAGGGGTCGTGGGGAATAAGGGGAGCCAGAGGAGTCTGTGTCGGTGCAAAACATCGAGCCAGCGGAATCGGACGTGGAGTTGCTTGTGTCGGAGCCAGCCTCTTTGCGGCGAATTGGTAGCTTTTTGGGGGAGGGGGGTATTGCTCCCGGGGATAGCATCTCGCGGGCGTTGGCAGTATGCAAGAATGGAGAGGACATAGAGAGGTGAAATAGTTGAGAAGCTTGGGAAAGAGTGGGGGAGGTACGAGTCCCTCCCATCGTGCCTTCCTTGTCTTGGGGTCTTGCCTCGCTGTCCATCGTGAGAGAACCGCGTGGAACAACCGCGGTGAGGATTTCTGGTGTCACAAGCTACCCCTTTGGGGTGCGTTCCAAAGGTTAACCCGCTGGGCTAGGAGCAAAAGACCAGAATTCCAGGACACTTCCTGGAACCGCACTCTCATATATATAGGATAGGCTGACTCGTAACATCTGGAACTTAGGCAAAATGGTTAAAAGAGAAGATATGACCGGGTGAGATTGCTGTTTGGTTGGTAATTTGTTATATCGGGAAGCTATGGTGATAAAAGTTAGCTACGCCAAGCTTTAGATAGATATGATGCGGAGTCATTGACTCACTAAACCTATTTAGGGTACTTTAGCTGTCCCCATAACGTGATTGGTGCCCAGAGAAAACCGGTAGTCCTAAATAGGACTAGTCGCTTACCTAGGTGGGGTATGCAGCATAGTGAGCACCTTAACTACTAGTACCTACCTAGGTAGGTAGGTAACTAGGTACCTAGGTAAGTTAATGCGCTTATGTAATAATCAGGCGGATCAGAGCGTTCAGGTGTCACCGGTGTTTGGCTTAATGATAGAGATCCTACGGGGTTGCAATATTGAGAAACAACACTGTGGGATTCGTCTGTCGAGGTTGGACGGAGAGAAGAAAGAGAGAGAGAGAGAGAGAGACTATCTACTGGATCTGTCCCAAGTGGGTCCTGGGTCTCAGGCACCCAGGCACCCAACACTTAAGTACGGTCGTATGTAGTTGAGAATTCATCGCAGCGATTTATATACATGTGTTGAGGCGGTGAGGCCAAAGTACGGGCGACTAAGTATGCCATCCGACACATAACTCTCTCATTGGTTATTACCTCACCGCCTAGTTTATTACTACCTTCTTGAAGCATTTACTAATTTTAACTTCTCTTTATTTGTATACTATACATTATAATACAATTCAATTCAATTCAGATTCAGTTCAGATTCAGTTAGTAAGATAGTAAGATAGTAAGAAATCAAGAGTCAAGACTTAAGACTTAGGAGTATAAAGAGCCCGGTGTTAAAAAATTAATATCGTATTTGTTGAACAATCTCCTATATATATATGTTTGCTACAGACTAAGCCCTATTTGTTCGTTATTTACTATTTGTTAGCTTGTTTACTATCATCGAGCAGAGTTTAGATGGTTTTTCCTTTAGGGGGGTATATAACCCCTACATTTCTAGTTTAATCAATTAATAATTCTTCCTCTGCTTTCTCCCCACATAGTAACAGGTTGCTCAACAGTATTCATTTATAAATAATACTATATAAAGTAACTATAGATTCAACATGGTACTTGTGAAGTGAGAGTGGATCTAAATTATTGTCTTGCAATATAAACCAATGAGAGAGTTATGTGTCGGATGGCATACTTAGTCCCTGTACCAAAGTTTGCAAACTATCTCGGGTGGAGTGCTGAATCTGTTTCTACACTTCCCCACACCATCTAGTCATGGCGGACCGAAACACATATCTCAAGTACAAGCGTGACCAGAGACACATTGTCTATTGGATCATCTCTACTTCTGCCCATATCATCAAGAAACTCTCTTCTGAGGCCCCAGTGGCTGCGAACACCACTGGAGTGGTCTCCTTGGCAACACTGAAGTCACTCTCGGCGCTTATCGCGAAACATATCGACCCGATTCCCACTACCATATTTCGCTTGTTTGAAGCAATCATCGATGCTAGGAAAGAAACACATAATCTTTTCCTGAAGCTCACCGCCTCGGATCCAAACATCCAAAAAAGCAATGAGTCGCATAAGCATTGGATAAATGGCCTGACAGATGCTTTCAATGCCCTGGGAGGAGAGAAGTGGCAGTCAGGAAGGAAATGTGATTCTGAGGCACTTGATGAAGACGAGGAGCAAATTATCTTTGCGAACAAATTTTCCACGCTGAGCCTGGATAGCCAGACGAAAGAAGGAGGAGAAGGGGCAAAAGAAGAAATTGATGGTGACGGCAGTGAAGATGAGGATGCTGATCTTGCAGAAGCTACCATCCCTGCTGCAACCAGACGGTCGAAACAAAAGCCTACCAAAAAGGGGAAGAAGAATAAACGAGGGCGCAAGCCGAAGACCAAAAGAAAGACGGTGGACACTGCCTTTACTCTCGACCTACAGGATGTTCCCCTGGAGAGTTATCGCATCATTGAGGATGAGACTGGCATGGTCACTGAGTACTTGATGGCTGTCTACTCACTTACCAATCAGTTGGTGGAGCTCCGTCATTACCTACAGGGTGTCTGGCGTCAGGTAGCCTATCAGGGCTTGAACAGTGTTGTTGCTGCAAATCTATGCAATGTGGCAATTGCGATGATCAAGGACACGCAATCCCAGATTTTCGTTGATTTTCCTAGCCACGACTCTTTTGATGTCGTTATGCAGACACTCACGCGTGGAGATCCTGAAAAGTCTCAAGGCATGTTCCATATGCAAGCTGCGCGACAAAACCCGGATGGAACATGTAATATGTCGGCGCAACGTGACATCGATGTGAGAGAAGAGTTCCTACTGAACACCAATCAGGACCTATTCGACTTTGTCACCGACTATCAGGCGACACGCACCGGTAAGCCTACCAAGGCTATGCTCAAAAGCATCCAGAATTGGGATCCCAAGTTGGATCTTCAAAGAACAACCAAAGAGCAACGCTTGAAGTGGCGCCGAGCATACACCATCAACTGGCTATACGACTTGGTCAATGTTTTTTCCTCGGTTGTCGTTCAGCGACGGACACTCAAGGGACAGCACATTCCTCTCGAAACGGTTGATTGGTCTAGGACCGGACCCTGGAGCGAACATCGGCTATTATTCGGCATCAACGATTTTGCTGGCGACATCACCCATCTCGCGGTACAAAAGCCTGGGACAGATTTTCGGTCAAAGATCCTTCCTCACCATGTCTTCCAGCTGCAGTCCATCGTGGACTCTCTTACTGTGTCTCGCGGCTGGTCGGTTGGTATTTTTGAGGGCCATGTCCTGAACCCGCCTGCTTCCGAGTTTCGGCCTCGGAGAGATGTCGATCTTTTCATGGATCGCGAGTCAACAAGACCCAACAGGGGTTTCTGCCAGTCAGTGGGGGTACTGACTCAATTATTCGACCGAGATGCTATGCTTCATGGAGACCCCAATCGCAACGCTTCACTCAAACAACTGCTGATTGGACTTCAAGAGGACTTCATCAACTGGCTTGGGGAAAGCATGTATATGTATGGCTTAAACACTATCCCTCCGTCGCGGTTTTCAAACACAAACAGCAATGGCCTATGGGAATATTCTCCGTTCCTCTGTGGTGCAGGCCTGTCGGAAGCACTTGAATTGACATACGGCATGGGTATGCTCATCTGGGAGAGGGTTCCTGAGCCGATGTGCGTCCTTCATCTACACAACATGTTGGTCCAGAAAGGCCTGATAGCACGACCAGTAGGACTGTGGAGTACCCTCGAGTTTCTTTTCCGGGATTCCTTCTTCTCCAACGGGAAGATACCCACCTCTAAATTTGTCGAGGCCATCGAGACTCGGGTTGGTGGGCCCAACGTTCGTCGGGAGAGATTCCGGAATCAGGTACGAAGACAACAGCTCGGCCGAAATGCGACGGATTTGAACGAACTGCTAGATCCCAGTGTCAATCGCTTTTTCAAAACTAAATCTTTACTGCAAGTCTACCGGAGCGCAGACTGGATTCCAGATCGAATCCCGGATGAAGACATCCCCTTTGCCACGGCTCTAGCGTTCATGCGTTTGGCCAAGGCTAGGCAAACCAGGGATCGCGCCACAGATGAAGTTACCCTGGCAGACACCGACCTGGTCAGGCGTGCTAGATTCCAGGGGATGAGTGACAAAGACATCATCGGAATATCATCCAAGATGTCATCTATGTCAGAGGAGCCTGATATGTCTGTATTGATGAGAACTGTTCAGGCCACTTTACCCGAGGGATACTCGTGTGGTCCGCTCGGTGGTCCTGGTAAACGCGATCTTAGCCTTCCTGCATACTTGAGCCTTCTCCAGCACGATTTCATTACGGACGTCTGTGGCGAGACGAGGCCGCTATCCAGTCTGAACTACATGTGGGTTCTCGTGCGCTGCTATGTGCTGTTCATGCAGATAGAAGACAATCTACGGGCTTGTCGCAACCCAACATGGGTTTTGGCTTATGAAGGGGACTCCAGATTGACGCAGCAGAAACGGGTGTCACTTACCGTGGCGGCTTTGGGAGAGAGAGATCCAGAGTGCTTGAAAATTATTGCAGACGTGTTTGAGGGGCAAAGAGGTGGATTCATGGACCATATCTACTGGGACAATCTGTTGGACTCTTTCAACACGCGGGAAATCTTTGCATCTGGGAACGAAACTCCCTTTGGCCCAGATTCTTGCACGATCATGTGAAAGGTGTGACTGGTTCTTGAGAGCAGGATCTATGAATCCATGGATGCGGTTATGGTTTAGTTTTATTCCTGTGGTCGTATGTCAAAATGCGGCAAGAGGTACTAGAGGAAATCCGATACGTAGGTACTTACTAGCTTGCCCTGCGAGAATTACTAGACATAATGTTGACAATCATAGTTCTACTTTCTCTTTCTGTCCTTTACCAACAACAGGGCTCATAATGTAACGGGGTTTCTGTGGGGTACCATTGCAATGGGTCGTGTGTTACCAAAATACCCTGCTGGTTTTAATCATATGGGCGAGAGCCAACAGGACTACTTAACTAGTAGGCGGTCCCTGTCCTCGCCAGGCGGTTTTGCTCGCGGATCACGCTGTCTTACTTTCATCCCGAGGTGGGGAATCTATGAAGATATATGGGGAGAAAAGCATGGGCTTTACGCTATCAGATGAAAGACAAAGCCTAGCAGAAATACATGTATTTATCGAAAGTCAAGGTTCAATACGTGGATCCGCGAATGGAGTCTCACTGGTCGTGAGCTCCACCATCGAGCCTCTCAACTTAGCATGAAGTTGACTTGGGTACCAGAAAAAGAACACGACCATCAAGGACAACATCAACGCGCCATCAAATGCGTACAGCGGCCATTCGTGGGTGACGAGATAGCTAGCATCATCTACCGACTGCATGGCAAACTCGACCACCCGGAAGATATTCCGCGCTAAGATAGCCGTCGATGTGACATAAAGCATATTAAGACATGCCTGCCATGGAACATGGGCTGTGACTTCAGTCTCACCTACTTGCACTCGAAACCTAATGTTGAACAGCAAACAGCATATCAAGAAATAGACAAATATGAAGATTTGCAAAACCAGTCCCGCAATAATGATGTAGTCGCCCGTCTTCGTGGTTTCTGGCTTGGCGAGTAGGCCAGCAGCATTGCCTTGGATCAATAGGCACACAATATCTCCCGTGACGAAGAACCGGGTGGCCCAGCGCATGGAAATGGGCGAAAAGGGTTCGCCGTGGATGGCTCTGACAATATGGGAATATGTCATGTAAAGTGTTGCAGCGAAGAAGACTGGGGGTAAGACCAGAAATATATCTTGCATAATGTAGGGTACCAGTTTACCCGTGGAGTATGTTGATACCGCTCGAAAGACGTAGCCGATAATCTCCACTAAAGAAGCCATGATGTTAGTGAGAGGCTCCAAAAATAGTTTGGATTGAGACCTACAGATTCCACCCAGGACAAAAGGAAGATTGGACCACATCTTTGTTGTAGGCAGCTTCCAAATGTGAGCTGTTGTTGCGAGGCAGAACAGGGCGGTAAAAGTGATGGCGAGGGGCAGGCTGGGTACATAGTGCCATAAGTAGACCCCTTCGTATGTTTCGAGAGTTGGCATCACACAGTGGGCTAAGCTGGTGGTCGAAATGGCAGGAAAATGAGGAAGTTCGCTCAAGGTAGCAGGTCAAGTGGCAACATGATCATTGAAAGGTGAGAGGGGTCAGCATCTTTAAATATTTTCTATACAGCCTAAAGCCAGGGCACACTATTCTCTGGCTGGCAGACTATCCTAGAAATGTAGTAGACTGCTTAGGTTCTATAAATATTGCCTACAACATACTGTAGTATAGAAATGGATCTCGGAAGAAGCCGAACACGCGTGTTAGCTAACACGCGTGTTACATAAGCACGGTATAACCCGGGGCCAGCCCTGGACGGAGACTGATCTTATCCACTGATTTGACGAATATTGAAAGAAATCTGTGGTATGACGATGTATGGTTCCGGAGTACTAAGCCCCGTAAGTAATATGACAAAAACAACAATCTCAACAGACACGATAACTACTACTAACTACTTGTATGCGCTGTATGGTGTACAGTCACCTGACTTTCTGTAAAACACCCTCTAAATCCACGTATTGAACCTTGACTTTCGATAAATACATGTATTTCTGTATTTCTGCTAGGCTTTGGCTTTCATCTGATAGCTGGACCCCGGCGTTGTTTGGTTGGCTGTGATACGCGTGTTTTACTGATTTGCACAGCCCCCGCGACATGCTCCGTCGCGGCCATAAGAAATCCCGGACAGGTTGTCTACAATGGTGATTCGAATCCCTAATAAATCTAACCCCTCTAGCAAATTATACTAACATGTGTGAAATAGCAAACAACGACATACCAAGGTAATGCTCCCCGACGAAGCGTCCACTGACGTGACTGATAAAGGGCCTTTGCAAACACCCAGTGCGACGAAGGTCGTCCGATATGCTCGCTTTGTATCTCTTCCGGGCGAGAATGCAGTTATTTAAATCAAGTAATACCACAAACCCATTTGACACCAGCCAATCCCTCTCCTGAGGTTTCAACAAGTCCAGGGAATACATCGAGCCAAGGTACCGTGACTCTGCCTAATGCCGCCCCTCTCAAGGTTAATGGCAGCCTCACTAATCAATCCAGGCTCGACTGAAAATGCAAGTGTCCGGAACCAACATGATCAAACCTTTGAAGAAGACATCAACCTCAAGCATATGGAACTCCTCGTCCACTTGGCCACCAATAAAGAGCTTCTAATACTCACTCACGGCGCCAAAAACGAAGTCTCTAGCCCCGAACTCGCCCTTGGCCTCAAAAAAGGTCTGGAGTCACCATATCTCATGTACCAGCTGCTTGCATTTTCCGCCCGTCATCTGGCCTTTCTGAAACCCGAGCGTTCGGCCTCTTATCTACACCAAGCCGTCGCACTGCAAACTCGCGCTGTCTCGATATTCAATGCGGCCTGGACAGAAATTAACCAGTCTAACTGCGTTTCTATACTACTGTTCTCATCGATCCTTGGGCACCATCTACTCACCGACACGCTCGCTAAACGGACACCAAATGGTATCGACGAATTCATGACCAATTACGTGCAATTCGTCGAAATGCATAGGGGTATACATACCATTGCTATGACGGCAAAGACTCAGCTGATGCAGTCGGAACTCGAACCAATACTTTCATGGAGTGCGTCGTTTACATCGCGCTCACCGAGGGGAAACGACTGCAGAAGAGCCAGTGAGTTGGTGGATCAAGCGGAAAGTCTAGGCCTGGAGGATAAGAAAGCCTGTCAGCTCGTGATTAGGTTCCTTCAGGTTGGATTTGATGCTGTGTTCTCGAGGGAGGAACAGGGGAACAGATACCATATGCTCTGCACTTGGCCAATGCTGGGACCTCCTGAGTTTACAGCTTTGTTGGTAGCTAGAAAGCCGGAGGCTTTGGTCATACTGGCTTACTATGCAGCGTTGCTGCAGCATGGGAAACATCTTTGGCAGATCGGGGATGCTGGGGTTTATATGTTGAGGATTATTTCTGACTTTCTTGGCTTGGAGTGGGATTATTGGCTTGAATACCCGAGGCACAGTATACAGTATACTTCAAAGCCTTCAATAGACCGTGCAGTTTTGCATTACATGGAATGTTGAAAATCCCAGTTAATTCCCATTAACTCTAGACTTTTGCATTATGCAACGCTAACCCTAATTCGGGGTTTTGCACAACAGATCCAGGCATGAAGAATCTGCACTCAGGATCCTGCCAGAAGAAGCCTAGATTAATCAGGAGCGAAACTTGCGGCCCATAATTGATAACATCGCTAATCTTCTCGATAAGGATAGAGGGGAGATGGAGAGCGAGAAAAACTAAAACAAGAGGTCTACTGTCCGATCTTCTTAAATGAATCCAGGAAAGCACGTTGACTCCTCCTCACGCCCTCATCGTGAGCGATCCGGCTCCCTTGCCATGCCCTAAAGATGAACCGATGCCAGGCCTTTTTCTTGCCGGCCATTGCCTTCACTTGCGTCTCGATAGTTTCCCAGGACTGACAGGTCTGGACCAGGGCAAGTGTAAGGTACTGGAGTGGCTTGGCATAAGGTCGGCGAATCCCGATCAGAGTTGTGTTGATGTCGTACAAGCGCAGCATTTCTCATGTTTTCGTGATCAAAGGATTTTCATCTAGCTTGCCAATTGCCTGATTTGCGTCGGTGTCGAAGATTGACGGAAATTCGAGTCCTATCTGTTCTCTCAATTAGTCGGCCTCATACATGGCTCCCAGCCTGTACGCGGTAATTTCCGTCAGTTCCTGCACCTTTTCTTTGGGGTAACTGGCTCCCTTGAGAACCTGTTTCAGACAGTAGTGCAAGCCGACGTTCGGAGCATTATTATCAGCACCGGGTTGAGAGGCAAAGTATTCAGAGGCGAGATACTGTAGACGTTTCAGTCGCCGCCCGCCAGTTCTAGCCTGGCTGCGTGCCGCGGGTGCAGACGGAGGTGCAGATGAAGAAGAAGATTGGGAGTAGAAGATATGAGACCAGCCTCACTTTCATGGAGGTGCCCAGTTATCACACTACGGGCTGCACCTTGGGCTGCACCTTACCCTGTAACTTGTATATCGGATGCCTGGGGAATTTTCAGCGTGATCCATTCCACACGGGCCACGCAGCAGAGGTTACCTAGTATCAGAATGATGACAGTGATTATACTATAATTTGCCTGGTGTATTATGTGTTGCTTTATGTACATGGTATCAGACCAAGTCCGTAGCCATGAAAGAGTCAAGTTCAAGTCATGGGGTATCAAAGAAAAAGCAAGGCAAGATATGTATGACGACGATGTTGTGAGGAGATCAGCGTCGCATCGCAGAGAGATGGGGGTAGGAGTATATTTCGGTGGTTGCTTGAGAGCGCCTCATTGAGTTGAAGACCTCTCCTCCATAAGTATAGTCGTCAATGTCAAGACAGGTCACTCGCATCGTCCCGATCAATGAAGCGAGACAGGTTTGGAGATATCGACTGCAGCCAGCTTCACATCAGGGAAGAAGGATATTCGTCTGAACTTCCTCCAAGGTCTGGATCCAACCTCCAGGAAAGGAGCGTCGCTTGAACCAGACCCCTTCCAGGATCCCGAGTGCTTTATCGACATTCTAAATTGTGAGACATTAGCATCTGGACTGACCTCTTGATGAAGTTCACCTGTAACATACCCTGAAACCAAACCGCTTCAACTCTTCCATGGTTCGACGAACGTATTTTTGCTCAGACTCATTCCGAGTCTCCTGCCCGGCAATGAAAAGCGGCCACAGAAAAGCCAATTGACCGACATCTTTTGGTAATTTATACGCCAGCAGAAGAATCCGACTGACAAGCATGTCCATATACGTCCAATCGTTGATCCAACCGACACGCCCAGCCCCAGCAACCTGAAGCAGATGCACGAATGTCGCTTTCTCGTATGCTTCAATGCAACCCGCATATTCGAGAACGTCAGGATACGGATACTGAGCAAGGCTCTCATCGTCCAGATCGGCGAGAAGCTGTAGACAGGGCGGGGTCATGGCACGCCATACAACCAGCTGGTTGAAGATGTCTTTGTACATTTCGTCTGACTGGTCGATTGTCATCCACGTTTTCTTGTCCGAGGCAAATGTACTGATAGATGCTTGCACTTCCATTAGGCTTGACCACGCCTCCCGTAGCTCGCTCAGACGTGGGTTGTCGGGGATCGTCAACAACAAGCTTGGCGTCCCGAGATTGTATTCCCATTCTCCACCCATAGTCTTCCAGTAATTACCTTCGACCACGGTACCGCCGGGAGTTGCGCATGCGCCTGCCACATCGAGATAGGATAGTAGGGAGACGAGGAATGAACGGAGAGGGTGGTTCGTCTCGGCGACGCGTTCTACTTCACGTGCCGAGTCCCCCGGTTGCGGGTAGAAGAGGAGGTTGTAGATTTCGCGAGCTCCTTTGAGATGTACTGCCCAGTTGTGGTGCTGGGAATCCATCATCTGTAGGGATGTTAGTTGACTGACCATGACTGGCAGGTCTTAAGGCAAGTGGGAAGCAAACCTCGAACAAGGAAAGTAATAGACACGTCGCGAGATCCGTTAACCTCAGCTGCTGGCTGGGATCTGAGTATCGTGCGCGGAAGCCCTTCACCACCACACCGTATTTGCCCATTGCCTGCTGGAAATGCCTATTCCGCTGCGATCCCACCGATGTATTCGCGAGATGTAATGCGCCCAATGCCTGCATTGCATTGAGCATTGTTGGAGACGAGCGGGCGAAATCCGGGAAATGTGTGCGGTAGGGATTGGCATTGTGGGGGGTGTTGTAGATGATCAGGAAGGTTGATACCTGATCCGCAAAGTATGTGAGATAACGCTCTTCGGTGCGCTGAATCGATTTCGCGATACTGATCCAGGTGACGGGATCCTGGAAGCGGAACTTGGTTGTTGGGTGTGGCAGCGTTGCGGGGGCGATCATCGCCTTGTGGGTTTCCTTGCTGTCAACATCTTCCTTCTCCGCCGAGGGGGAGACTGTAGAAGCATCGCTTGACTCTGGGCTGGATGTTGAATTGTTTTTCTGTCTCTTCGGTGCCCTGGATGACTTTGGCGATGAATCCGTCGGTGTTTGAGAGAGTCCGTAAACCTTGAAGGTCATCCGCCCTTGCGCGCCGTCGCACTCGCGTCCAAGACGGACACAGTTATTGCAGGCGGGAGATGCCTCGTCGCAGCGAACATGACGGCGGCGACAGGTGGAACAGCCTGTAAATCCTCGGTGGTGCCAGCGGCGGACTCGTTTTGGGGGTTCGGTGGGTTGTGTATCCGACGTGTCGGACAACGGTGCACCCTCCGTGCGTATCTCCATCGGGCGCGAAACTCGGAGGTAAAATAGTGTTCAGACATGGACTCGTGGACACTTGGAATGAAGACTAATCGTCATTAATGGTGGATGTTAGATGTTACCGAGAGAATCAATCCAAGGCTCTCTGGGGTTTGGAAGGGACGCTAACGGCATCTCTTGGCCAATGGTTTCCCTTTTTTGTATTAAAAGATTTTTACCCAAACTAAACACTCTTATGTCCCTACATATAGGGGTTCTGGCGCTTAAAAGCCTTTAGCTTGACTTTAGCGTCAAGGCTATGTCTTCAAGTTGACTGTTGTTGACTGTTCTTAATTGCTGCACAAAGTGGGAATCTTCGAACTCAACCCAACCCCAATGCTGTGGCCATTTGTGTATCTTAACTACTGATCATAGGCATCGAACTATGACAAAGGATCAGTTTCGACTCTAAATGAGAATACAAGCTCACTTACAATGCACTGTTCAAAAGGCACGCTGGAATTCAGAATAGCGCCCATGGCCGCCCGGGCAATCGTCACTGGCACTCCAATATGCACCGCCTGCTGCTCTGCCTGTCTGAGGACGGCCTCATTGCGCGAGGGAACGTTCACAGAAGCCCGGGTGGATTTGAAACGAGTTGCCTCGCGGACGTATGCGGCTCTATATGAGCGAAGGTGTTAATGTCAACGACAGAACTAAAGATTATAGGGGTCGGGGGTACAAACCGCCGATTTAGAAGATCGAGTATTTGATCATCGATATCATCGAGCGCGGCGCGGATCTCATCAAGAGAGTCACAGCACGTAGTCAACGTGCCATTTAGGGAGGAATAATGGACACTTGGGATACCCCATGGCACAGGGCGATGGTCCACTGAAGGTGTTGAGATCACATTGGAACCATAACAGGCATTGGCATTGGCATTAGCTGAACCAATAGCCGAAAAGGTTAGGAATCCAAAGAGAATCTGTAAAATCATGATAATATAAGTTAACTAAGATAATAAGAAGTTAACTAACGGAAAAAGGGATGATGCCAGCAAACGGCTGGTCAGATCCTTTGAACAAGGCTTTAATTCGACGTGTATATTCAAGTTCACCGGGCATATATGCGTCCTTTTCCTTGGGTTTCTTTGGGACAATAGACAGATTATCCAGTGTAGGAAATACTCGATTTAATAATACTAAATGCCTCGCAGTTTAAAATGCCAGCAAAAAACAGATATATAGATTCTATAGTCACCAGCTTAGAAAATAAATCAATTCGACGGATCACAGCCGATAGTGTACTTACTACATATATACCCCCTTATAGAATCAAATTTATAGTCTTTTTAATATAGGGTATCGATCTATCTCCGTAATGCCTTTTATATCCACGGTCGCGTAAACGCTTGTACGGAATATCGAATTCACACGCTAATTTAGCGATATTTGGTTTTTCGAGTGCATAGTATGCTTTTATAGTATCTAGTATTTGAGATTCGAGAGGTTGAATTTGATCCGACATTGTTTAGTGGTAGGAAAATAGTAAAGAAGTTGATATATAGAGAAATTATCCTTATGTGACCCCCCTACTTTTCCTCATTGATAGCCTACCATAACGGGTTAGGCTGTCGAAGACGATACTTCCCCTCCAAGAAGATATACTCGTGCACGTAGGCTAATGCGGGGAACGGATTTCACTCCGAGCTACCGAAACCCCTCTTCGGCTACTTAGGACTTCTTTATAAAGGATTCGCTTTTTTACAGTGATTTATACTATCAAACTATCTTACTGAACTTCGTGAAGATGTCCCAAGGTTCAAGACTCCAAGGCAAAGTTGCTATCGTCACCGGTAAGATTGTTATATTACACCATTCCGTTATAGGTGCTAATACCTCTCCCTCATTGTAGGAGGAGGCAATGGATTCGGTGCAGCTATCGCTCGCCGATTCGGCGAAGAGGGCGCCAAAGTAATCGTTACTGATATCAACGTTGATGGCGGCGAGAAGGTCGCCGCGCAGAATCCTTCCAACCTCATCTTTCAGCGCCAAGATGTCACACAAGAAGCAGACTGGAATACAGTGTTGGACTTGGCAATCTCCAAGTTTGGGCGAGTGGATGTGCTAGTGAATAACGCGGGCACTAGCTATCGCAACAAGGTGGGTTGAAATATAGTATATGATGGGACTTCACTAATCTCCTGCTTTCAGCCGACACCAGAGGTTACAGAAGAAGAGTGGGAGCGCGTGTTCAAGGTCAACGTGAAGAGCGTGTATCTCGCTACAAAGGCCCTGATGCCGCGTCTCATCGAGCAAGGGCAGGGTGGGTCGGTGATCAACATCTCCTCCACGGGAGCGAGTCGACCACGGCCTGGGTTGGTTTGGTATAATGCCACCAAGGGGGCAGTCACTAACGTGAGTGAATGTTTGGACCGTGAATGAATACTGAATGGCTAACAATCCATCAATATAGGCCACCAAAGGCCTTGCCGCGGAATATGGTCCCCACAATATCCGATTCAACACTGTCGCTCCTCTCCTTTCTGGTACTGGACTCTTTTCCATGTTCACTGGTATGGAAGATACCCCGGAAAACCGAGAGAAATTTATTGGAAATGTGCCATTAGGTCGGCTCACCGAGGTGGATGATATCGCCAACATGTGCCTGTACCTGGCCAGTGATGAGGCTCGTTTCATCAACGGCACTGAGATGGTAGTGGATGGTGGAAAGTGTGTTTAGATATTCGAGACAGGTCAGACAAATCAATATCAACTCTCCTGATTTACCCCGCAGAAACGTGGGGTGAGGGGTGGAAGTATATAAAAGTGAATTGTTCAGCCATGGCTCTATCTGCCGACATGACTTGAATACCTAAATCCCGTCGACTTGCCACTAACTGGACCTGAAAATGACATCAAACTTCAAATCCATCCCGGTCATCGACCTATCCCTCTCTACTGTTGTACGTAAAAGCTCTTGTCCTATTATTTGGTAGTGAGTCGAGCCTCCCCTATACAAATTTGCACAGAGAAAACAAACAATCCGGATTTCGGAAAGACCCCATGTTCTTGAAACGGACAAAAAGAAAATCCCGCAGAGTCCCTCTATAGAACTGATCATCGGAGGTACATGGATGGAGATGCAGGGTACCTTCCAATCCTGGAAGTTCGTTTGGACGAATCCACCGTGTGGGGTTACTACGTACCTACGTAGTAGACCTGACTTGATCGTTCACGGGAAAGAAACCTTGGAAATTTTTTAATCTGATAGATATAAATCCCACCTATGCATGTACGATGTGCGATGTACGATGTACAAAGTACTACCCCTTCCCGTACCCCTGTACGAACTATATAACTAGTATGCAGGTAAACCTACGAGCAGGTGGTAAATGTCCAGATCTCCATCTCCAAATCCCAGATGGAGTAGCTCTATATGTCTACAATATCTCCATGTAGCGGGAAACGTATATATCTCCATGTGAGTAGTCCAAAACTGGCAAGACCCTGAATATCACCGGTTTCAGTTCGTGCTGTATACATCTAAGCGAATCTTGGCGTACCATTTGATCTCCGCACGGTACCTGTCTATTACAGTGTACCCACAATTTAAATGCCGATGCCGAAGGGTTTTACATGACCTCTAGCGCGATCTAGTTTCATTTAGATTAACTATCAAAATTAAATAGAAGTTTTATTGAATGATGGGCCCTGTAATAACACATAAGGACGTGTATCTGAAATTGAAATCTTTTTCTTTTAGATGCGTCCATTTTTTAACGATCGTAGTGTTGACTACAGTTGACCTTATGAGCTCTATATGGGTCTGGGTCAGTGGGAAAAGGCGCCCAATAGATTAAATTGCCACTCAAACGTAATATAGACAGACATATATCGATTTTAGACGAGCATATAGTACCCCACGAACGGAGACATCGGAACGAGCAAAGAAGTTTGCAGATCATCATTTGAAATAAACGCTTCAGTGTTTCGTCTATATCAATTCTTAAAGTGCAACATACCCCGTAAATACAACGAGGGCATATAAAGGACCTTGAACAACCCGACTGAGGATGTTATTCCACACAACCAATCCTCTCAAACCATCAACATGAAGTTCTCTCAACCTCTCCTCTTCGCCCTCCCATTCCTTCAATCCGCCGCAGCCCAGGGCGGCGGTATGGTCGGCCTCGGATGGACCGTCGAGAACGTCACCGACGCAGGCTTGAGTGAGATTTTCTTCCCAATGGACATCTCCGGCGCACCCCACGAAGGCGGCTTCTACTTCGCGCAGCAATTCGGCTTCGTCGACCAAGAAAACGTGGGCTACACCGGTCTGCAGCCCCGTGAAAACGATCACGGCCTTCCGGTCATCCACGGGGTCTTCTCCAGCTTCAATGAAGGAACCACCTCCGACGATCCCAACTGCTCTGACGGTGCTGATGGAGGTGCCGGCGTGAGCTGTGCTGTTGAGATCGTCAGCTCTTACAATCATCAGTACCAGCTGCATATCAAGAATACCGAGGGAACCAAGTGGGTTGGGACTCTGGTTGATGTTGTCAAGGGAAATAGCACTCAGATCGGCTCTTACACTCTTCCCGCTGGTTCGAAGGGTATTCAGAGCTCCCAGTTGGGCTTCGTTGAATTGTATGGATGGAATGATGAGAAGAAGGAGCATGTGTGCTCTGATGTGCCCAAGCAGTCGGTGATTTTCGGCGCACCTATCTCTAAGGGCTACACTGGATCCTTGAGTGGACCTTATGAGTACGGTGACTGTGTTGGTGAATCTCAATTTGAGTCGCACAGCCACTCTGATGGCAGCTATTCTGTCACCGTTGGATGGTAAATGGAGGAAGAAGTGAGGCAGAGATATTGTATGTCTGGCTGGTTCATCAGGCGTGAATTAAACTTGGACAAGCCCCCAAGCCTAACTGGCGATGGATTCTTTATGAAGGAGATCCAAAGTTCATCTATCTGGTTGGATAAAACCACCGAACAATATCTATAGATCCTGGGTTAACTACATACATGAGATGATAAATAGATTTAATTCAGACAACCTCTTTGCTATGTATATAGAACCTCTATCATCTATAGTCTAAAACCGCCTAACCTCAACAGCAGGCTTATTCCCAACAGCAACCTCAATCTTCTCAATAACCTCATCCGTCAACTTCTCCACCACCCCCAAAGCCCGAATATTATCCAGCACCTGCTGCGGCCGCGACGCACCCGTAATCATAGACGAAATATTAGGATTCTTCAAAATCCACGCAAGCGCCAACTGCGCCGTCGAAACCCCAAGTTCCTCAGCAACAGGCTTCAACGCCGCAACCTGACCTAACTGCCGCTGCCAGATCTCATCCCCAACCGTCTTACGCAACCCCTTCACATATCCATCCTCGGACTCCGCCAACCGCGACCCAGCCGGAGGCGCAGAAACATCATTATACTTACCCGTCAAGACACCGCCCTTCAACGGCGAGAACACCGTCAGACCGAGCCCGTGCGCCTCGTAAAGCCAGCGGTACTCCTTCTCCACACGCTCGCGCGCGAGGAGGTTATACTGCGGCTGTTCGACGACAGGGCCGACGAGACCGAGTCTGTCGGCAATGCGCCAGGCGTCTGCGATCTCGCTCGCTGTCCACTCCGATGTACCCCAGTAGAAGGCTTTGCCGTTGTCGATGAGATAGTTGAAGCCCCGAACGACCTCTTCCATGGGCGTATCACGGTCTGCGCGGTGTGCGTACACGATGTCTACGTATGGCAGCGCTAGTCGTTGCAGGGAGAGGTTCATGCCCTCGATGATGTGCTTGCGGGAGAGACCGTTGTTGTTGAGGGGCTTGTCGGGGTTGGCGCTGTTGGCTCGGCCCCAGTAGATCTGAAAGATGGGTTTAGTGAGGTCAATAAAATTGGATGGGGAAATTGCGCTTGCGCTTTCTAGGTACCTTGGTGGAGATGACGAGGTCGTTTTGCTTCCAGCCGAATTTCTTGATTGCCTCTCCGAGAACAATCTCCGATTGTCCGCCGGAGTATACTTCGGCGGTATCGAAGAAGTTGACGCCGGCATCGTAGGCTACCTTCATACATTCAAGTGCGGTTTCTATTGTCTGTTAGATTCGATCAATTCCATTGTTGGAGATGGTCATACCATTCCCGACGTGTCCGCCGTATGTGAGCCAGCTACCCAGCGAGATAACTGAGACTTTCAATCCGGTCCTACCGAGGAACCGGTACTGCATTTCAGGAAGGTCAGACATTGTGAGTTTTGTTGTTAAAATCAAGATGAAATTTGAGGAAGTAAATTTCACGATGTTCCCCGGGAGACTTTATAGACACGGGCCGATGCGGGGTTAAAAGGACAGTAATTCCCCGATTGGGACCCCGAGGGACTCGCTTGGACCTACCGTAGGACTCGTTTAGGCTAATGATATTCGAAACATCTGGAACTTGCGTCTGATTTAAGAATTGTGGTGCAATATGTAGTGACAATGATCTCAATACAAATGGAATTGCACTCAACATCCCTTCCCACCTTTCCCCCTCACTTTCAATATATCAACTCGCACCCAGTTGGATTAGCACCAGGCCAGTCAGGATAGACAGGAGTTTGCCCCGCATCGGCACATTGACAAAGGTTAGTCTGTAGAGGGATGTCCGAACAAACACCAACCGGCTGAGTGGCACAGTACTCATTGACCGATACGGAGGTCGTCATACCCCGCGGACAGGAGCTATGCGGCATACAGAAGGTGTCAAATTTCGACGAGCCTGGTAGTAGGGTCATGCTGTACCATTGGTATACGGGACAAGAGCAAGAGACAGCTACAAGAGAGGACATTCAAGTTAGCCTCAGCGCTCAACCTTTGCGTCATAAAATAGAGTAGAAACAAGAAACTCACCACTAATGACAGTTGATTCTCCTCCCGCCAAAGTACCCTCATATATAGTCGACGTCGAATACGGAACAGCCCCATTCGAGCACTCGGTGGTGATCCAGGGTTCGCTGAGTGGGAAACAAGTCGATTCTTCCATACAATGATCTGGATGCCAAACTGACGGGAAGAAGCCCTGTGAGCACTTGATCGGAGGCTCCGGGCTGAAACAGTACGAAACTGGGGTTCCCATTGTACAGTCCGTCGTGTAGACAGCGGTTTGTCCATTCGGGCACCAGAGCTCTGGGCTTTGAGTGATCATCGCCGGGGCTACAGCCATGGTGACTGAGGCGGTTTGTTGAGGAATAGCCATTGTGGCTGAGATGAAGAACGCGAAAAATAGATAGATGCGGTGGAGGGGTTCCATTATGATAGTCTCAAAGTTCAGTAGACGGACATAGACCAAACAACGTATAAGAATTGTGATAGGACGATGTGCGGTTACTGTAACTAAGCCAGGAAGAACTTTCTCTTTGGAGCCCGGTGTTGGATCTTGTTTTATATCCGCGTGGATCCAACAGGACAGCCCGATTTGGGCTCTTCTCGAGATTCGGAGCTCACTCAGCTTGGCTGATCGAAGCTACCACGGTAAAGTAACAGTGGCTGATAGATTTGCTGGCGATTTGCTGGCGCATCAGTGAAGTTCAGCTCATACTACCTCGCCACTGCATGCAACCCTCTGATAGATGGCGATAATTAGACTGAGGATACTATTTCCAAATACCTCAGCAGTGTATTTGGGCATAAGCTTATAAAAATAGTAGCTTACCCCCTCGTCAACAAGGCAAGAGATCCTCATTCGGGAAGTCCATGACACAGTAAACGTTTTCGTGGTAACGGGGTCAGTGGCTACCGATGTCACTTTACTGACCAATTTAAACAGGGCCTCGAACTGACGGGATGGGGGCAGAGAAGTGGTTTCCATGTTGCGCAGTTTAAGTGTGCTACACGGACACAGCTGGCTCGGGGAAGATATACACTGACTAACACAAGACATTTGGTATCGTTGCAACGCTGAGTTGACATGTCTGTGGTTGAAGGGGCTGGATCGTTCTCAGTAATGGTGAGAATTGTAAATGCTCTCGTACATTGTCACCTTCTAGACCATTTTTGTTGTTCTGTCTTGGAATTGATGGTCTCGACGCTGTTGTCGGGTCTCGCTATGTCCCACAGGATTGTCGCACGGAATATGTAGAGCTTGGCCGCTGCCTACCTGAGCGAGGTAGGCTGATCTTTGCTCTGTATGGAGATGCTGAGACATCGGTTGAGAGGTTGAGGTGAAGTGAAACATTGGAGAACGGGTTAATATGCGAGTGGAATTCAACTGAGACCTATGTTGCACAGTACATTGCTGGGGCTGGAGATAACCAAAGTGGCGGACAGGGATGGAATGTGGGCAACTAGTAAAACTTGTATGTCTTACATAGACCCGGTTATCATCGACCAATGCGGTTGAATTGTGTACCAGCCAGGACTATTTAAAATTTTCATCACGAGAACGACAGTATGGTCAATGTACATCCTCCCCGACTGACTGGAGGAGGTCCAACAATCAGAATAAATAAATGTACATGAATCAAAGCCCCCAGGGTACAATCCAGCAAGTCCAAGGTCTAACTTGATGTAGAAGCAAGGGGTATATCCTCTCGGTCAAGGTGACAAAAAAAGGAGAACGACGCGCTGCGTACTTCACGCATTGGGTTCCTAAAGCCCACAATGGAGGTTCTTAAGCCTAGTTGTGTGCGTGACCGTGGCGGTGGTGAAGATGTCTGCGGGCATGGCCAGCAGCCTGCTCCGGCTCCACAGGTTCCGGGACAGTATCCTTCTTCACGTAGGAAACGGCCGTGGAGGTTTCCATAATGGTGCTGACAGTAGAGGAGACAGTACGTAAGGCGCCAGTGCTAGTCGAGTAAGTATCACCGTTTCCATCACAGAGGACGACAACTTCACGCTCAACATAGATGGTCTCTTCGGTGAGAGGATCGACAATAGTAGATGTGACGGGGGTCGGCGTTGGCGAGGGAGTCGAAGTCGAAGTGGAAGTGAAAGAAGTAGTAGCGGCTTCGGCAGTGCTGGTCGCGTGGAAGATGTTGTCAATCAAGGTGTTGGGATCAATCGAGACGCCACCAGCGGAAATAGTGGGAAGCGAAATTCCATTGCCCGTGGTTGTGCTTGCAGCATGGGCTTTCATTGAGGCACGCTCAGGACCCCACTCGATAGGCATACCGCCAGGCAACCCGTCGTCGTGCATTTCACAGTTTTCGTCTTCGATCTCAGAAGGGATGGGGAACTGACATTGACGCTGCTCATTTTCCGACTGGATATCGAAGATTTTGCATTCGTCAATCACACCTGTCTCGCTTGTGCAAGTTTCAATGGCCTCCTGCAGCACACCCGAATCCCAGGCTTGCATGAAATCACCGTGGTATCCATATCCAGTGGGGTCGCCGTTGGCGAGTGCGAAATATCCATCGACACCCTTGAACGCGTAGGTGTCCCAAATAGTCTCGTAGAAGAGTGATACCAGGCGAGTTTCGAAACCCTCGGGGCAAGTACCATCCATAACAAGGGACGGGTATGCGACATGGGATTTGTGGTCATCGGAGTCGGAATCCTTGCCATTCCAGCACGATGGGAACATCAACTCGAATCGGACTCCATCAGTGCAGTGCTCATCAAGGTAGGTCTTGTTGGGCAAGAAATGACGGTGGAGGGAGTCCTCAGCGGTTGTCTGGTAGTTGAGGCAGTTGAAACCAAGGGCCTTCTGGCGCAAAGCAGCCTGTGAGGCCTGATCACCCTTCCACTCGGACTTAGGAGGGTCGGGAACTGGCCAGGTGAAATTGCGCAGGAAGGGGTCACCTGCCAGCATGCGGAAGTCATCTGGGAAGGCAGTGATGTCCTGTCCATACAGAAGGTAGTAGCTGATCGAGAGGTGTTAGTAGAACTCCACCGCGAGAGTTAAATCAAACTCACGCAAGCATGCCTCCAACCTCCTCAACTACCTGGGCACTGCCATTGGCGTGCATGAAGTACAAAGCGGGAGCCCAGTAAGCAGACTTGTCCTGAGTAACTGCGCACGAGGTGCAATCACTCTTGAGGAGCGAGGCCGGATCCGAGCTCATGCCAAAGCCTAACCATAAATCAGCACATCCGTAGACGAAGATCTAAGCTTTAGGGAAAAAAAAAATGCGCGCTTACTTCCACCTCCATGGACTGCGTGAACGTGACCTGAGACCTCGTCAGGCTCCACAATGGGGTCCAGACGAGCGAGACCAGATCTTCCACGGCAGGGAAGACGCCAGAAAGCACTTGTATAGCTTGGGAACAGCGCCAAGCAGGCCATCGCAATGGCTGTCAGTCGAATGTCCTGCATGTTGTTGTGGTTGAGCCGCGTCCACGGGCTCGGTGATTGGATATAAAGAATGAATGAATGATCTCAGGGAGAAACAATTGTAAATGACAGACTCGCCAGAAGTACCGAGTCAACCGGTTAGGCGTGGAGAAAATGAGTGCGAGAGATGTAGATACTAAGCAATATGTTAGTGTAAATTCAAGGCATTAAGCACTCCATGTTGCAGATTGAAGTTTCCAAGCCAATCGTCATCCACTCTTATATCAATCCCCCCTTCTACAAAGGGTAAAAGAATGATCCCTTGCTTGTGGGCTGAGAGTATCACTTTCCGCGGGGATGGATTGAGAAAGGGTAATCAGGTATGCGGACTTACCGATCAAGCGCGTTTCTCCTGAAGTCAGTAAACAAAGGCGATTCTGACGATTTCTGTTGCGAATCCCTGCAGATACGCCCATTTTATCAGCCTCAACTCTATTTTTTTCTTTTTTTTCAATAATAGACAAAAACACCCAAAAGTATACTCACTTGGAATATTTGGAATCAAATATAGAGAAGAATAAAACAATGAATGAGCGACAAGGGTATGAATGAGTGACAGACCCTGAGATAGGGTAAACGAGTGTGACGCACGAAGTAAGAAGAGGGGGGCAAAGGAATAGATTAAGGAGCAGCACACGGGGATCAAGTACTCTCTCAAGGCAGAAAAGTTAGAAAAAATGCACAAGTGAACCCTCAATAATGAGTCGCCAATCCAACCCCCTTAGTGCTTGGAGAGGGGCTTGAGTTTAATGAGCGGGCCAATCCCTTGATATTCGGGATATTAGGGTAGGGGGGGATATTACTATTTAGAATATCAGCCCCCTCTCTTTACTTATATATCCCTACTATTACCATTAGGTGTATAAGAATTAAAATGAACAATAGCTAATCCCCTTGGTGCAAGAACAGGGAAAAAATATAGAGGACAACACAACAGTTATAGATAGAGAATATTCTTTTCAAGTTTCCCGTGTGTTCAAGTCAATATCTAAGACGCCGAAACGAACGGGCGCGTTCCTGAACTAGTCCACTAGCCCCGTCTTGGTGACCCACGATGACCATGGGGATTGGCCTGAAGAGAAGATGAAACGATCCATAAATTATAACCCCCTATTTTACTCTTCAGCCGAGATTACAATTACGTTTAGAGCGAGGTGCAATATAAAATATACTATGAACTACGGAGTATAGAAAACTAGTTTACTTTGTATACAATTTGCATCCTATCGGATATACATACAACAAATATATATATATATATATACACTCCGTAACTACATATATCAACATAATTATAAAGTTCATGCTCAAACTAGTTCAGACAATAACCGTTTGAGCTTCGAGGAGAGTTTGAAGACATCATTTCTATCCCTGCAATATCCCGATCCAATACCCCCTGTACCCCGATGTCTCAGATCTTCGCTTGATACATAGTGAAACCAACAAAGCTTTTTTTTAGTATTATCTACGGAGCAGTTCGCCGGCATTTCGGTATTCTATATAAGAATGAACTGGTTTATGGTTTATAATATATTATTAGATGTGCTGTGGAGATATGGGATCATATTAAATATTACGGAGTACAAAATATATTTATTCCTCCCAAGGTTGGTGATTAGATCGTGGTCTAATGGGAATTGTTTACCAGTTAGTGCTGGGCTGAAAAGAAATTATTATGCATCTCGCGCAAGAGAACCAAGCGCATGAAAGGTGGAGATGCATCAGTCTGATGGTAAACAGTTTCCCAAATGGGACCTCGGAAAGATCTTGGCATAACGAATATCACACACATAAGAGTAGATTGGAGCTCTAAAGGTCTATCCTAAGAAGGGAATACATATACAGTACACGGTTCGACGTTGTACAACACACACAGATTACACCTTCACTTCCTCCAAAGCCTTTCTCGCTCTGGCAACGGA